GGTACATGGGTCGATGCTCAACCACTGAGCCACACTGGCTGGGCAGGGAGAGCAAGTTTTAATTAGAAAACTTACCTCTACTTTGTGCTTTGATTTAACTTTATAATGATATCTCCCAGGAGCTTTCTAATCTGATGTATTATATCAGAAAAATGAATTAATAGTAGCCAAAAGATGCCCTGGCCAACTAGATCAATTGGTTAGAGCACTGTCCTGTTACCCCAAGGTTGTGGGTTTGATCTCTGGTCAGGGCACATACTACAAGCAACCAATGGCCATGGCAAAGTGGCTCACTTGGTCGGAGCATTCCCATGCACCAAAATGTCAAGCTTTTGATTCCTAGTCAGGGCACATACCTGGGTTGTGGCTTTGAACCCCAGTTGGGGCGCATACAGGAGGTAACCAATTGGTGTTTCTCTCTCTCTTCTCTCAAAATCAATAAAAAAATATCTTTGGGTGTCAATTAAAAAACATCCTTGGGTAAAGATTAAAAAAAATTTTTTTTAAAGAAAAAGAAGCAACCAATAAATGCATAAATAAGTGGAACAACAAATCAATGTTTCTCTCTCTCTCCTCCTTCCTCTCTCTTTCTAAAATCAATAAAAAATTTTATTTAAAAATATTGTAGCCAAAGGATGAGAGATATTTTATACCAAATATAACAATGTTAGAAATGACTATCTAGGTACCAATTCTGGAAATTTACTATATTTATATATAGAATCAAAGATAAGAAACAGGTATAATGAAAATGAGATAAGAACTGTGGAAGACAAGACAATGGGCAACTATATCACTTCTGAACATTTTCCTTAATTTTTTTTTTTTTTTTTTTTATCCTCACCCGAGGATATTTTTCCATTTTTTGTACAGATAGAGGGGGAGGGAGAGTGAGAGAGAGAGAGAAACATCGACGTGAAGGGACACATCGAGTGGCTGCCACCCGCACGACCAACCAGGGCCGGGGACAAACTGCAACCGAAGTACGTGCCCTTAGCGGGAACCGAACCCGGGTCTCTCCGGACCGCAGGCCGACGCTCTAACCGCTGAGCCAAACTGGCCAGGGCCATTTTCCTTAATTTTTAAAGTTGGGATATTTCTCTAAAGTATTTGAGCAAATTTTGTTTCAAAAAATGGGTCAAAATAAACAACAAATATTAACTTAGACCCATTCTTTAAAAATTATTACTTCTTATGTTATAATCCATCACTGAAAATCTATATTGAACTGTCATTTTATATTTTAACCATCAGAGCTGTATCGGCTAGTGGTCAAATACTACATGGGAAGATTTAATCACTGTATTGACTTACATAATTTCAACATTTAGGGACAGTAGGAGGCTACTAGGAATAAAAAAAGGGGAGGAGCACAAAGTATAAAAGATGGAGGGAGAAACAGAAGAGGGAGTGCTGACTCCTGACACCCTCGTGCCCCAATCCTATGCAGTGGTCCAGCGGTCCACCTTTCCTTCTCATAGAATAAAGCCTTCACTGCTATTCTAGAATGGCTTCTGCAAGTAACAGGAGTTATTTCAAATCTGAAATACACACAAACACATATAAGTATACCTATGTGTACATTCATGCCTATAGAGATATCTGAACTATCTGTAGTAGATAATGTACAGTTATTGTTTATTTTTTTTAATTTATTTTAGATAGAGAGGAAGGGAGAGGTAGAGAGATAGAAACATGGATGAAAGAGAACATTGACTGGCCCCCTCCTGCACGCCCCGTACTGGGGATTTGGCCCATAATCTGGGCATGTGCCCTGACCGGGAATCGAACTGGCAACTTGGTGCATGGGCTGATGCTCAACCACTGAGACACACCGGTGGATCTATAGTTATTGTTTAAAATGGACAAGTAGAGCCCTGGCCAGTTTGGCTCAAAGGTTAGAGCATCAGCCCTCTGATCAGTGAGTCGTGGGTTCAATTCTGATCAAGGGCACGTACCTTGGTTGCGGTTCACTCCCTGGCCCTGGTCGGGTCATGCAGGAGGCAACCAGTTAATGTGTCTTTCTAACATTGATATTTCTCTCTCTCCCTCTCTTCCTCTCTCCCCCTCCCTTCCACTCTATCTGATGATAAATAGAAAAATATCCTCTGGTGAGGATTAAAAAATAATAAAATGGACAAGTAGAAATGAAAGGAAAAGTTTATACAATTAACTACATTATTTTAGTGTTACTTTCCTTCTAATTATAGAATATCTTGTGAGCGAATATTAGATGTTATTCCTGGAATCATAATGAAAACCATAAAAACATCAGAATAGAAATAATGCAGTAGAACATTTTGATAAACTTATGGCCTTATAATTTCTCCTCATAAAAAAATTGCAGGTAGCCCTGGCTGGTGTGGCTCTGTTGGTTGGGCATCATTCAAGGCACATGCCTGGGTTTTAGCCTCGATCCCCAGTCGGCAGCTGATCGATGTTTCCTTCTCACATGATGTTTCTCTCTCTCTATCTCCCCCTTCTTCTCTAAAAATGAATTTGAAAAAAATCTTTAAAAAACAAGCTTGCAGCCCTGGCTGGTTTGGCTCAGCGGTTGGAGCGTCGGCCTATGGACCAGAGAGCCCTGGGTTTGGTTCCCGCTAGGGGCACGTACCAAAAAAAAAGCTTGCAGCTTTTTAAGAGTTAACAAAGCACTGAAAATAAACAGGGTCACCTTCTAAACTTTGAAATTCAGTCAATTTAAAATAAACCCAACCTGGCAAATTCCTAATGATGTTCCTTAATACTGACACAACCTTTACTGGTTTTATAAGACATGATGCCTAAATTGGCTGAGGCTTAGACTTACTTTACTAAAATTTATCATTTTTTCCTATTAAAGACAGATACTGTTACTGTAAGGGAACAAGGCAATTATTTTCTCTCTGGAAGTGCACTTCGTTCAGGGGAGGCTCTACTCTGGTAACATGCGGCTGCTGTAAGGATGGGCTTCCGTTAATAAAGCTACAGGGGACCTTATCCAGTAAAAACATGTGAAAGAACTTGGGGGAATTTAATCATGTTTATATAAATGAGTTGCCACAGGTTAAATTGTTCATTTGTTTTAAATGTTGGACTTGAGCTCTCGCAAGGCTACACTGATAAGATTTAATAGTGGGATTGGCTAACTTTTATTGAGTGCTTACTATGTGTTAGGTTTTAGGCAAATATTCTCTTATTTAATGCTCCAAAAACCTAGGAGGTAAGCACTCCTATTTTGCATGTGATAGTAACTGCTAATTCACTTGATATACACTCTTCCCTTTTCCTTGTAACAGAATCCTATTTTATTAAGGGCAGCAATGGAAGGAGTTAAGACTACATTTCCCAGGCTTCCCTGCAGCTACATGTGTCCATAAGACCAAGGCATTAGACCACAAAGAAGGGCTATGTGGAACTTTCAGGATGACTTTTTAAAGACAGCTGACCCTGCCCTGGCCGGTTTGGCTCAGCGGTTGGAGCGTCGGCCTGTGGTACAGAGAGACCCGGGTTCGGTTCCTGCTAAGGGCATGTACCTCAGTTGCAGTTTGTCCTCGGCCCTGGTTGGTCGTGCGGGTGGCAGCCACTCGATGTGTCCCTTCACATCGATGTTTCTCTCTCTCTCTCTCTCTCTCTTCCTCTCTCTCCCTCCTGCTCTATCTGAACAAAAAATGGAAAAATGTCCTCGGGTGAGGATAAAAAAAAAGACAGCTGACCCAACTGAGAGGTACATTCTTTTTCTTTTGTTTCCACTCCCCCCCTTTCTTTTTATTTTATTTATTTATTTAATTTTTGGTACATGCCCTTAGCAGGGACCGAACCAGGACTCTCTGGTCTGCAGGCTGACGCCAACCGCTGAGCCAAACTGGCCAGGGCCCTCCCCTTTCTTAATCAGCATCACACATGGTACCTTAGCTATCACATCCTAGCCTGCAAGGCTGGAACTCTGGGATAATCAACTGACCTGCCCTGAATTGCCTATCTCTAGACTCTTTATGTAAAAGAATAAACCTTTGCATGTTTTAGTGTTCTTTTTTTAATCCTCACCCGAGGATATACTTTTATTAATTTTAAGAATAGATTTAAAAAATTTTTTTTTTCCTTTATTGATTTTAGCTAGAGAGGAAGTAAGAGGGAGAGACAGAAACACTGATAAGCAAGAACATCAATTGGCCGCCTCCTCCATGCCCCCAACTGGGGATTGGGCCCACAACCTGGGCACGTGTCCTGACCGGGAATCGAACCGGCGACTTCTTAGTGCAGAAGTCGACACTCAACCACTGAGCCACACCGGCCAGACACTTTTATTAATTTTTAGAGAGGACAGGAAGGGAGAGAGATAGAGAAACAGTGATGTGAGAGAAACACATCTATCAATTGACTCCCGTATACACCCCAACTGGGGACTGAACCTGAAACCTACATATGTGCTCTGACTGGGAATCAAACCCACAACCTTTTTGGTGTATGGCACGATGCTCCAACTAACTGAACCACCTGGCCAGGGCAAACTTTTGCATGTTTAACCATCCCTACATGCAGCTGAACCTATTCCTGAGACACATATTTACACAGATGGAGAAAATGAATGTTACTGAGGTTAACCAAGCAAGTAAACCCAGCAAGTAAAAACAAGGATGCTAATCCAAGTCTGTCATACTTCATGGTTCACACCCTTAGTAATTACCCAGTGGAATGTAAGCTCCACAAAGGCAGCATCTTTTTCTACTGTATTCATTGCTGTGTTCCTATGCTAGCACAGTGCCTGGCACATAGTAGGTACAAAACAGATGTAAAATGAGTGACGTATATTGCCTCGTGAGTGTATCAAATAAAAGTTTAAATAGAGATTCCATCACATTACATTCCTTTAGAACATAAAACACCTGTGGAAGAAAAGACATTGTTTTGTCAATAAAATTAGAACATCAGTGAAATAGACAAATACTCAATTACTGTAAAACACTGAAATTATATCACACCAATTCTTGAGAGACAACACCAGTAAACTACTTTCTTACCTATAGTTACATCACCTCTGATTTCACTTTCTACACACACAACTGCTCCAGGAGCAATCTTCACACTGTAGGGAGAAAAGATAACATTTAGCATGGGTAAAGGTTAAAAATATTGTTGTAGAAGCTATCCTGACTCTAAAAAAAAAAGGCTAAAAAAAAAATTGATGGAAGAATGCAAAGTAAATTGTAAGAGGGTAAGGTTTAATATATTATAAACTTCTCAGCTGGCATACTATGCATTGGGCTAAAATCACATATGATGCCTTATCATTACAGTACTTGAGGAAATAAAAGGAAGGTTTAGATCTTTTTCTTTTAATACCAGCATCACTTCTACATACCAAAAAGCTGGAAACATAGATATCCATTAGTAGGGGACTGGTTAATAAATTATGGTACACTGTGGACTAATACATAGTCATAAAAAAGAATTAATAATTTTTTATATAAAGATTTGAAATGATCTCCAGGCTAAATGAAATAAATTTTTAAAAAAAAGCAAACTGAGCCCAGCTGGTGTGGCTCAGTGGTTGAACGTCGACCCATGCACCAAGAGGTCGCCGGTTCAATTCCCAGTCAGGACACATGCTCAGGTTGTGGGCCCAATCCCCAGTGAGGGGCATGCAGAAGGCAACCAATCGAGGCTCTCTCTCATCAAGATGTTTCTATCTCTCTCTCCCTCTCTAAAATCAATAAAGAAAAAAAAAATTTTTTAAAAAAGCAAAGCCAGAAAATGGACAGTTTATATAATATGCCACTATTTTTTTAAAAGGGGGGGGAAAGAATGCACATTCAAGTTATTTAACCAGCAAGGTAATATTAATATAGAAATCGGTGCAATGCACAATTATTCCTATTTATTTTCTAACTATATAAAAAACTGCTTATCGAATAAATGTTATAAATTGTAGTGCAAAGTGTTAAAAAAAAACACTGATATTCTGTTGTGATCTTCTGCTTGACACAGCTGAATCTAGCTAAATGCTGCCCTCGCTGAGCCTTGTGCTGATATGAACTGCACCAAACGATTTTCCCGTTAAATTGACAGTCATTAAGTAACTTGTTCACATTATGTAATTCTTTCCATGCAAAGAATTTTTCTTAGTTGAAATGATATTATTCATGGTATTAAATCTACTCTCAGCTTCTATGAAATAACAACCATTTTAGACATTTTTACTTTAGAATCCTATTTGGACTTTTCAAAATTTTGATTTCTAGTTGTTCATTGCTAGTATGTAGAAATACAATAATTTGTATATTGACTCTGTATCCTTGGGTTTTTGGGTTTTTTTTGTAGATCACGGATTTTCCATGCAAAAATTTTTGTTGTCTATGAATAGGGACAGTTTTAGTTCTTCTTTTTCCAATCTGTATGCATAGTATTTCTTTTTCTTGCCTTAGTACTCTGGCTAAGATTTCAAGTGTAATATTAAATAGGAGTGAGGAGACCAGACAGCCTTGCCTTGTTCTAGCTTCATAAGGTCAACAAAATCTATCAAATTATCTTCTAAGCCATGAATTTTGCATTTTAAATAAATTATTAAAACCTGGTATGTGAAAAAACTAAAGCTTTGTTGACCAAAATGTTGGTGCCTTGATTTATACATTTTTTTAAAGTTATTTTCTCATTTCAGACATGGTTTTACAACTAGCAAGGACCAGAAATCTATATTGCAATGAATCACACATATCAATGTTATTTTCTAAGTTCTATGAATATTAATGTATGAACATGCTTATTTTTAACTTACAGTAGATAGTACAATATAGGTGTCCTTTTGACACTTTGATAAAAAACTTGTTATTGCACGTTTTTTTCCAAATGTTTTACTGTGAAACAGATTCATATTTTTTAAATTTCTCCTCCTTGATAATTTAAAATTTTCATTATATCTAACATGAACTTACATAGGACATGCTTGCCATTCTAATAAGATTTTTTTTTTCTTTATTGATTTTAGAGAGAGGAAGGGACAGGGAGAAAGAGACAGAAACATTGATGCGAGAGAACATCCACTGGCCACCTCCTACATGTTCCCCACTGGGGATTTGGCCCACAACCTGGGCATGTACCCTGACCGGGAATCAACCCAGTGACCTCTGGGTGCATGGGCCGATACTCAACCACTGAGCCACACCAGCCTGGCCTAATAAAATATTTAGGTGTTTATTTACCATATTAAATTTTTCTAACTTTTTTTTATTACGTTTAGTTACAGATGTTTCTCCTTTTCCTCCCATTTACACCCTCCTCCCTCTCCAACTCCCACCCCAGCATTGTTGTCTATGTCCATGGTTACCCATACACGCATGTAAGTTCTATGATTTATCCCCTCCTCCCCCTCTCCTGAGGTTTGTCAGTCTGTACCCTACTTCTGTCTCTGGGTCTATTTTGTTCATCAGCTTGTTTAGTTCATTATATTCCACAAATAAGTGAGATCATGTGGTGTTTGTCTTTCTCTGATTGGCTTATTCCGCTTAGCGTAATACTCTCCAGGTCCCTCCATGTCCTCTCAAAGGATAAGAGATCTTTCTTTCTTACAGCTGCATGATACTCCATTGTGTACATGTACCACAGCTTTTTTATCCACTCATCTACTGATGGACACTTGGGCTGTTTCCAGATCTTAACTATTGTAAATAGTGCTGCTATGAACATAGGGGTACATATATTCTTTCTGATTGGTGTTTCAGGCTTCTTAGGATATATTCCTAGAAATGGGATCACTGGGTCAAATGGCAGTTCAATTTTTAACTTTTTTGAGGAAACACCACATTGTTTTCTATAGTGGCTGCACCAGTCTGCATTCCCACCAGCAGTGTGATAGAGTCCCCTTTGAACAAAATAAACTGATGAACAAAATAGACCCAGAGACATAGAAGTAGGGTTCAGACTGACAAACTTCAGAGGGAGGGGGAGATAAACCAAAGAACTTATGCATATAAACATAACCAGTGGATACAGACAACAATGCTGGGGGGGGGGGGAGGTGGGTGGGTGGCGGGATCTGGAGGAGGGTGTCAAAGGGGGGAAAAAGAGAAATATTTGTAACAAAAATAATTTTTAAAAAGAAGTCAGCACACAGTGCTTGACACCGCTGCTGCGGGAAATAGGTTAACCTAAGCAGTCCTCTTATCCAAGCCGTCCCTGTCCACCAACAGTTCTAGCAGTGGAGACGGCGGGAGAAGCCACGATCCCTGTCCGCACACGTTTACAAAGGAGCTCGTCCACGCCGGGCAGACTGTCTCGGTTCGGCCCAGGCGCCGCCCTCTTTTTGACAAGTGACGGTGAATCAGTTTCCACAAACACACACCGCCCACGACAGGCAGGGACGGGGTGCAGCCAGCACTAACGTGGGCATCTCGCGGCCCTGGGCGAACAGCCCCACCAAGCGCAGCAGAGTGGAAGGGGCGACACCACTCTCCTCCGACAGCCCCCGCTCCGCCCGCCCCACCCAGACCCCTTCTGCGCAGGCGCGGGCGGAGAGCCCGCAAGGTGGGCCCGGGAGGCAAGAACTAAATCCTTCGCCGCAGCGCTTCCGCATCCCTTTCCAGACCTCCCTATCCCCATTCGGGCGCCTCGTCCCTCAGCGGAAGCCAGGCCTGGGCTTTAGGGACCATCCAGGCCGAGTACAGGGACAAGGCACCATCTCAGTCCCCGCCATTGGCGACCAGGAATGGCTTCTACCTCTGCACAGAGCTGAGACCAAGCTTTTCTCAAACAGCTGACCTACCTCTTTTGAGTCTTCTCCGCCATGGTTTGGGCCAGGTCTCCAATTGGAGCCGAGATCGACACAAGCGCCTGAGTAAAGCGATGGTCTCTCCGAGCGATTGGATGGCCTGGCAGGATCGGAGGGGGCGGGGCCAGGGGCGGGGCCTGCCCGTGGGGGCGGGGCAAGCGCCGTTCCGCCGCTCCTGCCTGGGTGAGCCGGACCGTGCTAGCCGGGGGGTGTGGCCACACGCGGATTTTAACGCAGTCCAGGGATCGATGGACTCCGATTTAAAACAGTCGTTTAGTTCACTCCAGCACACGTCATTACACTTCATTGTAAGCCACCGTTCATTTGCAGCCTTCTTTCCGGTCTCTATTCTTGAAGGTTCTTCCTGCTAGGCCCTGTTCAGTGAGTTTCTCCCTGGATGCGCCCATCAAGGCCATAAATGAAGCACCTCTACCTGCTGGCTTTCTCGGCTTCCTGTCTCTAGTTCTGTCTTCTTGGCCGAGCGTCGCACCTGATTATTCAATTGCCTATCCCCTCAAAGTCTTACCCAACCTAAGACTAAAAAGGTCTTAGGTTTTAAGACCTAAAAAGTCTTGCTCAGCCGGCCCTTTGACCTCCGTGTCGGTAAAGGAATCCACATTCACCCAGCTGCTCAAGCCAGAAACTCAGGAGTCAGTCCAGGCCCGCCTCACCTCGCCGGCTATAATTCACCAGCAGTTTCTGCGGGTCCTACATCTGGTGTCTGCATCATTCTTCCACTTTCCATCGTTTCCCACTTCTCTAATCTGACCTCAGCTCCCTGTTGTCTGCTCCTCCCACTCTTGACCTCTAAAGCCACCCCACCATCCCCACCCCCACCGCATCCTTTAAAAACCAAATCTAGTTTGGTTTTTACTTCCTATTCCTTTTAAAATCCAAACTTCTTTCCATAACCTATCTCTGGGCTAAATTCAGCCCTTGTCTACTTCTCTCTTTTTTTAATTTCATGTTCCTCTTCCCCTTTCTCTAATCACACTGTAATTCTCCAAGAAGCCAGACTGACTCTCCACCCCAGATGCCTTCTTTCACCTGTCCTTTGCCCACTCCCTTTTGACCCTTTAAGTTTCAGATGTCACATACACATGTATCAGATTTTTCATTACAGTTGATGCAGTGAGGTGGAATTTGCTAGAATGGCCCTGGCTCATGGAACCGTGGTTTGTTTGGGCAAGATGAAGTATAAAAGGGTGAGGGGTAAGGAACCTTTGATCCCTCATGGCTACTGTCAATCAATGGTAGTTGGTGCCAATTCAACTCCAACAGGAATCCTCAATTTGGGGTGTGGTGAAAGAAAGCACTGGGTCTGACCTTGATGCTAGACCAAGTTCAGATTTGGATCAATCTGAGCATCAGCTACTAGCCTCCAAGCTGCCCACAAAAGAACAAATTATGCCAGCACAGCAGAAAGTGCCTCTAAGGCCTCTGGTTACCAAGAAGGCAGTCAATGCAAGGGGCGGGGCTGCAAGCTCCATGCTTCAGCCTGGTCTTTCTAGTGACCAGCCCCCATCCAGGAACCCACCCGAAGTTGCCTCATTAGAACAGAAGGTGCTCCTAGTGCTTTTATCATTTAGGAATTTACAAGGGTTTTAGGAACTCTGTGTCAGGAACTGGGGGCATAATATATATATAATGTTTTTTTTTCCTATTATCTCACAGGATAGATTTAGAACATTGTTTTGTTCCCAAGCATACAAAATATCCATTTTCAAGAAATGTCTGTCTAAATTAATACCATGAAAGACCTCCATGGTATGTGTATTAGGGTTCTCTAGAGAAACAGAACTAATGGCAATGATAGATAGATAGATAGATAGATAAATAGATATAGATGTAGATAATAGATATGGATATAGGTATAGGTATATAGATATAAACATACATATTGGGGCTGGCAAGTCTGAAATTTGTAGAAGTAGACCCACAAGCTAGAAATTCAGGGAAAAGTTGATGTTGCAGCCTGAAGTCCAAAATCTGCAGGCTGGAAACTACAGACAGGGTTTCAATGTTACTATTATGAGGCAGAATTGCTTCTTCTTTGGGAAACCTGTCTTTGCTGTTAAGGCCTTCGACTGATTTGATGAGGCCTACCCACTGTTTTACTCAGTCCTGATTTAAATGTTAATCACATCTTAATATTGTTTGCCCAAATAACTGGGCAGCATAGCCTAGCTGATTTGATACAAAATTAACCATCACAGCATGTGTATACAAAGGACCATTTTATAAACATTGAGTACAGTGTCTAGGGCCTATAAACTTTTCAGGGACCTACAAAATGTTTGAGACCTAAAAATAAAATGTACTGATTCCAAAGTACAAAAAGTATAAGTAGGAATTAATAAATATGTAATTCAATGACAAAAAAGCGTAATGTTTTTTCCTAATAAACTGCAACTCAACTCTTTTGCACCTCGCAATTAATATTTAATGGAGGGTGTGGTTGCATTTTAATATGTTTAATATGATGTGAGCTTACTCATTGCTTAGGGAGCCCTCTCCTCCCCATTAAATATTCTACTGTTTGTCTGGGTCATTGTACCATCTGTGACCTGGAATAAGCTATCCATCTGTTTGAAAACATCCTTCCAGAGCCAATTTATTTATTTTTATCCTCACCCGAGGACATTTTTGCATTTATCCTCAGATACAGCAAGAGGGAGAAAGAGAGAGAAACATCGACGTAAGAGAGAGATATCAAGTGGTTGCCATCCCACGACCCCAACTGGGGCCGGGGACAAACCACAACCCAGGTACGTGCCCTAGTGGGAACCGAACCCAGGACTCTGGTCCATGGGCCGACGCTCTCACTGCTGAGCCAAACTGGCCAGGCTCCAGAACCAATTTAAAAACATTTCCACTTCTCTTGCTTTTCTTTTCTTTCTTTTTTTTTTTCTATCCTCACCCGAGGACATTTTTCCATTTTTTTGTACAGAGTGGGAGGGAGAGAGAGGAAGGGAGAGAGAGAGAGAAACATCGACGTGAAGGGACACATCGAGTGGCTGCCACCCGCACGACCAACCAGGGCCAGGGACAAACTGCAACCAAAGTACGTGCCCTTAGCGGGAACCGAACCCGGGTCTCTCCGGACCGCAGGCCGACGCTCTAACCGCTGAGCCAAACTGGCCAGGGCCCACTTCTCTTGCTTTTCAAAAATTCCTTCTCTCTGCCAATGACTGGTTCTTTCTTTATCCACAGCAGTGGACCCCTGGCATACTGCATCTCCTAGCTCTTCAGTGGAAGTATGTATTGCCATGTCTGTCTCCCTTGTAGATTGAGAGCTACTTGAGGGCAGGGGCCATGTCTTATTCATCCTTCTGTTCCTACTGTTCAGCACAGGTGTCTCACTAAGCCTCTGTGGTCCTTGCCCTTAAGATGCTGTTGTATCAGATTACACTTCTCCATCCTTTATTTAAGGCTGCTTGCTCTTGCATGGATCCTTGGAGGTGAAAAATGGCTGATGAGGGACAGCAGTGTAATGCACTGGGCTCAGTAGATGGACCCTACTAGCCAGGAGATGGCCCACTGTTCTTGTCTTGTCTCCTGTATTTCTGCCCTCACCCCAAAGAGAAGCTTCTCTTTAAGTGTTCCCTCACCACAGTTTTGCTTCCTTAAAACCTTTGTAACTTTAACAAGTATTTATTGAGTACATAGCATGTGCCTAGCACTATTCTCTGTGCGGGGGATACAGCAGTAAAAACAAAAAAACAAAGGCTTTTCCTTGTAGAGCTCACATTTGTAGCAGGCCTGCAGGCAATAAACTAATTGAAAAATAGATTTATAAGGGGTGGTGACAGATACTGTGACAAAAAAAAAAAAAGAAGAAGAAAAAATAGCATGGGGAGGACAGCTGGGATTGGGAGGAGGGATCTTACTCTCTGAGAACCCACCTCCCTTCCTCATGCTCATGTTCCCGTTCCCCCTCCCCTAGTCTGCGGAATTGTCTGTCCACAAATGGAAATTAAGATTTTTCTTTAACTTAGTGAAGAAAATATGACAGTCAGATGGCTGGAAAGACAAATACTGTGGCATGTAAACCAAACAAAACCAGAACTTTTGAAAGCAATATTTTTAGTACACATAATTATTAAGTAACATAACCCCAAATACGTTTTGGTTTCTATAGTGCAGTTCCCCAGTTCCCGTTATCAGACAGCTCCTTTTGTTTGCCTTTTGCTCACCCAGGCCTTCCTGAACCATTTGAAAAGATCAAAGAGAGCCTGATTGAGGGTTCTGCTTGCAGGAAGGCACTGGTTAGGGCTCTGGAAAACACAGTGTCTTTTGTGCCTGTTCATAATGGGTTGGCTTCAGCTGCTTTTCCTCCATCCTGTCTCACTTTACCAAGGGGCTGCTTTTCCTTTTGCACTTCTGTTTAATTATCTCTGCAGTATGGATTCATTTTCCACTCCCGCCAGGTAGGTTTGATGGGTGGTTTTGTTCATACAGCTATGAATGTAATAGTAGGTCAAAAAATACAGGTTGAATGGAGTGCAGATGTGAAGATTAAATATAATTAAACTGGTTGTTTTTCAGTTATCACTGCCACTAATTATTGATTATTTGATCATGAATGTGTTTAATAGAGTGAAACTGAACTGGAAATGGACACCATGTTTGCACTGACTTAGCCAAAGTTTGACAGGTTTACATCAAATGGGAAAAGGATGAAAAGAAACTGGGGGAGGTGGACATTGAGGTGACACAGGAGTGCCCCAGATGGACGCATCTACACACCAACCATGTACCCCAGATATTTCTGAACAGTCCTAATTTCATGGAATTCTATAATTTTCAATAAAATAAAATTTTATTAAATATATATATATAACTAAATGTGATTTTAAAATGACTTTGTATGATTTTTTTTTATAGAAATGAAATAAGTCAAACAAATCTTGTTAGATTAGCTATATCTCTATCTGGGGATCGAGAATTATTGTCACTAGAGACTTGATAACTTGATTGAAATAATTTGTTTATAGCTAATAAACTCAATACATTAGAGATAGTTCCTATTTTTAAAAACATTTAGCCCTGGCCAGTTTGGCTCAGTGGTTGAGTGTCGGCCTGCGGACCAGAGAGTCCCGGGTTCGGTTCCCACTAGGGGCACATGCAACAAAAAAATAAAATTAAAAATTAAAAATTAAAAAAATCTTATCTTTAAAATAAAACAAAACATTTAGTGGAATATCCTTTTGTAAAGTGAAAATTTACTGCCAAAGGGCTGCCTTCTAGTAATTCACTTATTTTGGAAATTAGGATTTTACATATGGGGGGTTCTTTTTTTTTATTTTTATCCTCACCTGAGGACATTTTTCCATTTTTTGTTCAGATAGAGTGGGAGGGAGAGAGAGAGAGAGAGAGAGAGAGAGAGAGAAACATCAATGTGAAAGGGACACATCGAGTGGCTGCCACTCGCACAACCCAACCAGGGCCGGGGGAAAACGGCAACCGAGGTACGTGCCCTTAGCGGGAACCGAACCCGAGTCTCTCTGGACTGCAGGCGGATGCTCTAACCGCTGAGCAAAACTGGCCAGGGCATATATGGGGGGATTCTTAAGTAAAACCTAGCTGTATCTAACAGTCAGTCAGGATTGCCGAGTTTGATTAAACTATGGTGTGTTATTATGACATGTAGACAACTGGCTGATGGCTCCTCCTTCATTTAGGAGATGGGAAAGGCAGTTATAAAAAGGTTTTCTATTGCGAAAGAATCACAATAAAGCAAAACAAGTACAAAATCAGTTAATCCCCCTAACTAAGATTGCTGGCTTTGAAGTCAGCCTAGTGCATGCTGGCCCCTCACTTTCTTTCTTTTTTTTTTTTTTTAACTTTTTTTTCTATATTGATTTTTAGGGAGAGAGGAAGGGAGAGGGAGAGAGAGAAACATCGATGAGAGAGAACATTGATTGGCCGCCTCCTGCATGCCCCCCACTGGGGATCAGGCCCACAACCTGGGCATGTGCCCTGACCGGGAATCGAACCAGTGACCTCTTTATGCACGGGTTGATGCTCAACCACTGAGCCACACCAGCCGGGTGGCCCCCTCACTTTCTGAGTGTGCTTGTGTACATGAATAAACTCTCTCGAGTTTATCTGTAAAATGGAAATAATAACACCTACCTCATGGAGTTATTTTAAGGATTAAATAAAGACATTTCTTATAAAGGGGTTATTAGGCCGGCCAGTAGCTCAGTTGGTTAGAGTGTGATGCTAATAAAGGGGTTATTAGCACCACGCCTAGAATAAAATAAACACTGAAAAAATCATGCATCCTACATAGACATTTTAATGTTCACAGAAGCCTAGGGCAGCTGCCTCTGGCTGGAGCGTAGCTTCAGGCTTCCACTTTTGCTCTGTAAGGAATAAGTTTTCCCATCGCAGGCAAGTGAAGGCTTGGACCAGTGTTAATAGGGGTGGTTTGGGGAGGAGTCAGCCCAATAAAGGCTCAACAAGAAGCACAAGAATGGCCCACGGCCTGTGTCATGGAGCTTCCTACACTGAGGCAACTACCAGTTTCCCTCTAGAAAGAAGTTTCACCGTGGCGTGCAGGTCACTGTGCCACAAGGCCATGGTACATGCCTTGTGATGTAAAGAAAACGAGTCCTCTTTGACTCAGTTTCCCTGTCCTTGACTAGTCAGTCACTGTGTCGCACCTTTTCTGACTTCTTCATTCAGATTAATTTATTTGGCACCAGTTAAAAACAAACAAGCCTTCAAGTACTGTAAATGTCCCAGGCCGCTGCGGATCCGCAGGGCATCTACTGGCTTCTGAGGGAGGCATGCTCCCCCAACCACTTCGCTGATGTAGGTATTTACAACATCAACAACACTAGCTTGTGAAATCTTAAAGATGCAGTAGAGAGGATTAAGGGTGTATATAAAGATTTTCTAATTGAATTTTCAAACTTGAAAAGAGATTCAGTCTGGCTGACGTCGCTCAGTGGTTGAGCATTGACCCATGCACCAAGAGGTCGCTGGTTCGATTCCTGGTCAGGGGACATGTCCAGGCTGTGGGCCCGATCCCCAGTGGGGGGCGTGCAGGAGGCAGCCAATTGATGTTTTCTTTCACTGATGTTTCTATCTCTCTCTCCCTCTCCCTTGTTTCTCTAAAAATCAATAAAGGAAAAAACATATTTTTTTAAAAAGAAAGATTCATCCTTTTATTTTTTTACTTTAAATTTATATTTCAATTACAGCTGACATACAATATTATATTAGTTTCAGGTGTACAACCCAGTGATTAGACATTATATAACTAAGTCAGAATCCTGATAAATCTAGTACCCACCTGACAGCATACATTGTTATTACAATATTAATGACTATATTCCCTATGCTGTACATTACATCCCCTTGATTATTCTGTAACTAGCAATTTGTACTTCTTTTTTTTTTTGTTTTTTTCAAAATTTTTTCCTTCATTGATTTAAAAAGAGAGGAAGGAAGAGGGAGAGAGAGATAGAAACACTAATGAGAGAGAACATCAATTGGCCACCTCCTGCATGCCTCCCACTGGGGATCGGGCCCACAACCTGGGCATGTGTCGTGACCAGGAATCGAACCAGCAACCTCTTGATGCATGGGTCAATGTTCAACCACTGAACCACATGGGCCAGGCCCAATTTGTACTTCTTGATGAGATGATGTCTAGAGAGATTTCCTAGATCCTCAACAGCAGATTGACATCACTTTCATACCACTAGATTTTGGAGATGTTCCTAGTAGGAAACCTTCCAGCCTGTTGCCCCCAGGGTTGTTAGGGCCGGTGTTCCTACTTGAATGGCGAACATCCAAGAGAGGCTCTCGGGGTCACCAAGGCAGGAATCAGGATTTGTTTCTTGAAGTAATTATTCACAAATTTGACTCTGGCTCTTTCTCCCATGGTCTTTTCCTTCAGAAGAACGAAAGGAAGCTCTTGGAGTGATAACAGCATGACTTCTGTAGGTGTTCTGTGAGGTCTGCATCAATTCCGTTACCCAAAGTAACATCTGAAGTGACTTACGTGCGTCATACTGCTCTAAGTCCGTCTCACGGGTTGTCTGTCCTTTCTTTCAGGCACCTCTTTCTCCTGGCCGGAGGAGGCGCCCTGGCCTGGGCCGCTATGGGTTCCTTCGCTGTGCTCATCTTCATCCCTGCTGTGTGCGCTGTGGTTCTGATCTCCTCAGTCGGCCCACAGGAAGTCCACAGGTGGACTTTCTTCGTTCAGATGAGCTGGCAGACGCTGTGCCACCTGGGTCTGCACTACACTGAGTATTACTTGCAGGAACCTCCTTCCACAAGGTAAAGCGGTTTGTCCATTTGGTGTGCTGAGCTGACCAAGGGCCCTTTGCACAGTGGTGAGGATTGGGTATTGAGTTTAAATCCAAATTCCTCCATATTTGAGCAGTGTGACCTTGAGCAAGTCATTTAACCTCTTGTGGCTTGTTTCTTTGTCTGGAAAAAAAAAGTGTGTGTGGAGGAGTATAACAATATACTCCACAAAACTCATGTTGGAAATAATGAATCAAATATAATTATATGACTGCTAATAACTACCATGCATTACCTACGAAGCACACTCTGGCACTGAGCTGCAATTATCATTGTGCCAGAGTAGAGGTTGACTCAGCAGTCCCAGGGCCCACAGATGAGGCCTGCCTGGCAGTGACTAAGCAGTTTGCTCACCTTTCCTGGGTGGTTTAGACACACAGACAGCAGCCGTCCCTCCCCGTTAGCAGGACAGGGAAGGCATAAATCCACTGTAAACTTAGCTGCCTTCCCATGGCACCTGCTGTGCAAGAGATGTACTGTCATGGACACTCAGCTGGTGCATTCGCCCAGAAGGAAAGTCAGCTAATCTAGGAAAGAAAAAAATTGGACACTAACTAGAGCCTAGAGAAGTGTTTTCATAAGTCGGTGAGATCACCATGATTTGGGGGAGGCCTGTCTCTGCGATCTTGAGGCCTGTGTTTCAGGCTCCCTCTGTTACCACAACCAATATGGGCCCATGGTCACTCAGACAGCGGGGGCTTTGACCTGTTGAGGTGGGTCAGCTCTCTGATTCAGCCTGCCATTGCTTCACTCACTTCGCTGTCCCCACCACACCCAGAATCCTCTTCTTTATTCTGACTGTTTCACCAAAACTTCACGGTTTGTTTCTTGGAAGAAAAGGCAAGATGGCAGGTGGATGGGGGTGGGGATTCTGCCGGGGATGTGATGGATTAGGGTTCCAGTAGGAGGAACCAGTTGAGCAGGATCTAGCTGGACAGGAGGAAGGCTGAGCCAGAGCTGAAATGGGAAGATTACGAGTTTGCCGTGACTGTCATAACAAAGTACCACAGGCCGGGTGGCTTAAACAGCAGAAATTTATTTCCCCTGGAGGCTGGAAATCCAAGATCAAGGTGTTGGTAGGTTCGGCTTCTTCTGAGGCCTCACTCCTTGGCTTGCAGATGGCCACCTTCCCTCTGTGTCTGTGTCCTAACCTTCACTTCTTACAAGGATACAAGTCGTATTGGATTAGGGCCCACCCTAATGACTTCATTGTAACTTAATTACCTCTTTAAAGACCCTATCTCCAAATATAGTCACATTCTGAGGTACCAGGATTAGGACTTCAACATATGAATTTGTAGGGGACACATTCAACCCTTAACAGAAGGTGAGTGAAAGGGGTTGGTGGCAGTGGATGCTGCTTGGTTCACTGTTAGGATAAGCCAAGTGAGGGCAGTTGTCCTTAAATGCCCAGACACAAAGATAGGAACAGCAGTGACTGGGAAACATGTTATTTTCTCTCCACAGGACAGCATTTCTGATTGTAGAGTACGTCACTGTAATTTTCATTCTCTCCACACTAACCTTGCCAGTGGGATCTTCTCTGCTTTGTGATGATGAAGCAGGGACAGTTCAGGTGACCGGTTAAGAACATAACCTCACATTGCTAATAACTCAGCACATACCCCAAACCTTTAGCTCATCCACGTTCCTCAGCACAAATCCCCAGCAAAAGTCAGGACTGGTTCATTTTTCAAATCTTCAACTTCCTATCATCTCTTCACCATTTTTTGTTTCTTCTATGGCAAATTTCTCTCAGGCCCCCGATCCTAATCTTTATAAGCCAGTCTTAGAAACATTATAAATCAGTATTTCCCCACAATATTCCTTATCATTCTTTTATTTGCCTAATGATTAATTTCCCCATTTATCTTTTGATCCTGCCTGGGGTAGCCTGTGATTCTGGATTAACCCGAGTTTTTGTGGGGGCATTCCAGGCCATGAGATTGGTCTTAATTGTTCAGAAGCCCCCATTTACTGTGGGGTCATGTGTGAGGGCTGGAATGGGATAAAATAAATGTGGAATGTTTTTTACATTAAAAAAAAAAATCTCTTTCAGGTTCTGCATCACTCTTTCTTCCCTCATGCTTTTGACCCAAAGGATCACATCCCTCTCTCTGGACATTTGTGAGGGGAAAGTGGAGGCATCAGGCCCCAGGAGCAGGAGCTCTTTCTCCGAGCATCTGCGTAAGGCCCTGCCCTATTTCAGCTACTTGCTCTTTTTCCCTGCTCTCCTAGGAGGCCCTCTGTGTTCTTTCCAGAGATTTCAGGCTCGTGTTCGAGGGTCCAGCCCTCCGTGCCCCAGGCGCTCCTTCTGGGCTCTAACCTGGAGGGGTCTGCAGATTCTCGGACTAGAGTGTCTGTTGGTGGTCACGAGGCGGGTGGTGAGTGCGGGAGCAGGACTGGCCGACTGCCGCCAACTCCAGTGCATCTATGTCATGTGGTCCACAGCCGGGCTCTTCAAACTCACCTACTACTTCCACTGGCTCCTGGATGACTCCCTCCTCTGTGCAGCGGGCTTTGGATCTGAGTCTGGCAAGAGCCCTGGGGAGGAGGGATACATCCCCGATGCGGACATTTGGACACTGGAAACGACCCACAGGATATCCCTGTTCACGAGAAAGTGGAACCAAAGCACAGCTCGGTGGCTCAGACGCCTCGTATTCCAACAAGGCAGGGCCTGGCCATTGCTGCAAACGTTCACCTTCTCTGCCTGGTGGCACGGACTCCATCCAGGCCAGGTGTTTGGTTTCCTTTGCTGGGCTGTGATGGTGGAAGCTGACTATCTGATTCACACCTTTGCCAATTTGTTTATCAGATCCTGGCCTATGTGGCTGCTCTACAGAACGCTCACCTGGGCCCACACCCAGCTCATCATTGCCTATATAATGTTGGCCGTGCAGGTCAGGAGCCCCTCCTCTCTCTGGTTACTGTGTAATTCTTACAACAGTGTCTTTCCCATGGTGTACTGTATTCTGCTTTTTCTATTAGCAAAGAGAAAGCATAAACTTAACTGACATCTTTCCCCAGCCTTCATCTTATACATCCATGAGACGGAATTTAGAAAGTACCAGATGGTTGTTTGTGGAGGGCGGCTGAGCCAAGGTCTCCTGTTGCTCCTGTGGTGTTTACAAAGCTAACCCAGGAACATTCTGTGCCAAGGGCAAGACCCTGTGGTGTCAGCAAGGCTCACCCAGGAGCATTCTGCCCAAGGTCTCTTGTTGGTTCTGCATGCTGGCAAGGCCACGCAAGAGCATTCTGAGCTGTGGGCAAGAATGTATCGACTGTCTGGACCTTGAGCTCAGAGGCCGGTGGAAACATCTGGTGTTTGAAGATAATGAAGCTTTTGAACTCCCCCCTCCATTATTGCTATATAATAAACATGCTGAGCTAGCTCAGGGTCACTGTTTCTCCATCAGAGAACAGTGTCCCACCTGTCCCCAGCTTTTGTCTGTATGATGTCTCTGTGTCTTTCTTAATCTCCCATCGCCCCTCCTCAGGTCTGATTTGACTACCTGCGCGGGTCGCAGCAGTTGTTGATGATGTCAATATTTGAACTTTTTCATAATAAAAGTGTTTAAAAATACTGGGTGAACATGCATGATATATTGCTATAAAAATTTGTGTATCTACTTTAACAAGCTATTATATTGATACTGAGGACCAACAAAAGAAAGACCTGGTTTCTTCCCTTAGGGTTTACAGTTTTGGTGTGGAAGCAAAGTTCAAGTAAAGCAGTACATAGAAACAGAAGGTAGGATGAGCCAAATAGCAAATAGTATATACACAGACATCCAAAAACTGAGTGTCTGATTGGTCTGCTTGATCCTGGAATGTGAGTTTAGCAAGACAACAACAAACAATACCTAAATCATGTTATATTGGTTTGTTACATGAAGTAGAGTTCTTGTCCTGGCACGTTTGCTGGCCCAAGAAGATTAGTATTTGGACAAAACATGCTCATCTTCTATAATGCAAGGGAGAGGTCAGCAGCCTCTGTCTTGTAGGCAGTAACCCTGGACAAGGGAATCAGATTCTGTGGGCCAAGGAAGTACCAGAACTAAGTGACCCACGGAAAGAGCCCCCAGTGGGCATACATGACCTGACCCCTGGCCTCCCACCTGTTATCAGCCAAATTACTTTGAAGGGCTTGGCAGGAACCCTTATAGACCCACAGGGGATCTCATCCAGTTGTTTAAAAGTATTTCATGAGATTCTGGTGATTAAGAAATCCCTGAAAATTGGATAAGCCATAACTGAAAAGCTCAGAATGCTGGCAAAGCTTAATTAGAAAATATTTAACAAAAGCCACAAAATGTGCCTTCCTAAGAGGACCAAAGAACTACAGATACCACTGTGCATTGAAATGGCATTGCCTAGTAAATGTTCAATGAAAACTTCAGGCCACCTCTTGACCTATTATTCTGTTTTTAATTTTTTTAACATCCTCACCTGAGGATGTTTATTGATTTGAGAGAGAAGGGAGAGGGAGGAAGGCGGGGGAGAGTGAGAGAAACATCGATCGGTTGCCTCCTGTACATGCCCTGATCTCGGACTGAACCACAAAGTAGGTATGTGCCCAGGCTCACAGGGCAGCCCTATCCCTGTGGCACTGGCAGCCACTCACCTGTGCTGGCCTTACTCCGGGCCGCTGCCATGACCAAGAGGCAGCCCGTGGCTCTGAATGGGGAACCAGGTTTACAATCCACCCCAACTGTTCAACTTCTCTAAAGGAGACAATCCGATCCTGTTTTTTCCTGCCCATGTAGTTTTATGAACAGACACAGGGAGAGTTCACTGGTGCATCCAGCCTGTTGACTCACTGGTCCTTGTGCAGCTGCAGAGAACATGGAAAAGGAGGCTCAGATGGCGAGTTTTGAGGAGTTTGTCCTGGCAAGTATTAGATCTTTCCAACTGGGAAAGTGCCAAGAACCCACGTTCTACTTTCTGGAGGCAATGGGCTGTCTCTGGTCACCTCGGAGGCCCTGGCAGCCGGCCTGCCAAACCTGGGTAAAGGCGAGGGGATCGAACAATGAGGACCAGGTTGGCGGTGAAGCAGGTTCTGTGGGTGTGAAAGAACAGACTTGACCACTGTACCCACAGGAGCACGGTAGAGACCAACAGATTATGGGCACTGCAATGACCAATTGCTGTAAAAGAACAAATGGGCCCTGGCCAAGCAGCTCAGTTGGTTAGAGCGTTGTCCCGATACGCCAAGGTTGTGAGTTTGATCTCTGGTCAGGGCACATAAAAGCAACCAATGAATGCATAAATAAGTGGAACAACAAATCAATGTTTCTCTCTCCCTTCCTCTCTCTCTAAAAAGTAATTTTTAAAAAATGGCAATCACTAGTATTCATGCTGATTAAAATGGCAATTACTAGACAGTAGATTCAAGTCACTTCCAACAGATTCTTCTTTACATGCTTGCAACATGGCAGACGGTGTGGAAAAACTGGTTTCCTGTCATTTCAGGGATTGGCACTAAGAAGTGAAGGAGTAGTGACTGTATTTTATGTTACCTTTCTCAACCATGCCTATTTCCAAAGCATTTCAAAAGAAACTGTCTAGCAAAATGGATATTACTACTTTAGTATTTGATTCTCAATCACTGTTGATTCTGATGTTGGCAAGGCTGCCCTGTGGTGGTGTGGCCACAGCCCCTGGCCAGGAGGCAGCGGGTCTGGTTTGGTCCCAAGCTGACACTAACCAGCCATGTGACCCCAGCCATTCCCTCTCCAGGCTCAAGTTTCCTAGTGTAACAAAACAAGAGGCAGATAAAATATATTTTGCTTTTAAACTTGAAGGCATTATGACTGTGCAAGTGCTTTGCCAATTTTTTGAGACAAGAAAAAGTAAAGCATTTTTCTCCTGACCTGCATCTATTTATCCAGCAAGAAGTTTGCAGGATGAAATAAACCTGCCGAGTGCCTGTAACAACTGGCGTGTTATATTTCTTACACTTAATTTCCACCATATAAAAAGGACAAAGTGATATTTTGGGGGCTTATTAAAAACCTGAGAGAAAACAGTATTTCTCTAGTACTAATAAAACACCATTAAGTACTCTTCACTCTCCCATTCCTGAATAATCATTTTCATTCCTCAGTCTATATTAGGCAGCTGATAATTGTCAAACACTAACATTATTAATCTGCTTTGGGCCTCATGTCCTGGGATGATTTGTAACAACAGCTAGAGATGCCAGATTATTTATAAGGAAGTACCTTGGTCTCACTTGGTTTTTGCTGCATCTTTTTTTAGAAACATTTGTTAAGCTACAACAATTGAGTTATATAGTTATGTATATAACACAGACGTTACTTTGGTTTAGTTGCATGGCCACTCTGAGTATGTTAAATTAAATGACTTAGATGAATTCACTGGTGTGGAGACATACAGGTGGCATTTTATGGCATCCTCAAGTTACTAATGGATTATTTTCTACAACTTTAGTTTCTAAATCGTTTGGAAGTTAATTGCATTTTCCTAGAGAGAGAACATTATGCCAACTCCTACTGGGTGTCACTCATTGTAATGATCTGAATTCAAGGTCACATGCAAGATAGAAGGAAAGAACAAAGATAATGCCCTCCTCATTCCTTAAATTGTAACTGAAACTAAGCACCTTTTATTTTTGTAATTTTCCCTATTTATATAGTTATATAAATGTGTGGACTTTGTTTAGATCTTTACTCAAATGAGCCAAAAGCAAAAAGACATTTATAGGGGAAATTTGAACACTAATTGGATATTAGAGCATTATTTTTAATTTGTTCAGGTGTAATAATATTTGTTTTAAAAGGGTCACAATTTAGAAATACCCACAGACAAAATGAGGTGTCTTGGATTTGCATTTAAGTAATTTGGGGTATGGCAAATAGGGTACACACAGACAAAACAGTGGGACGCATGCTGACAGTGTTGAAGCTGAGCGATGGGGACATGGGAGTTCAATCTATTCTACTTTTGTGTAGGTTTGAGAATTTACATGAAAACAAATATGCAAAGACTAGTGGGTACATATGGCAGAGTAAGCCAAATTAAGGAATTTCCCTTCCACAATCTCTTATGAAAAGAATAAAAACTGTAAAAGTCACTGCAATAAGTATCCTCTAAGATAATCCCTAATGATCCTTCTCCTCTCCTGGAATTCACATTCCCCCACATTCAACCAAGGCAAATCACCTCTAAGATTCGTTCACAAAAGACAATGCAGTTTACCTGCTAATCTTTTTTTTTTTTTTTGGTATGTGCCCCGAGTGGGAACCGAACCTGGGACTCTCTGCTCCGCAGGCCGACGCTCCAACCGCTGAGCCAAACTGGCCAGGGCTAATCTTAGCAACTTCACTTTTTGGCATTTTCTTCTTCCCTCTAGTCCAGCTGTACACCTGACTCACTTTCTATCTCCCTAAGACAGTAAGTTCCTGAGCTTCTGAAAACTGCAGTTTCCTCCATCTAGAATGTTCTTGCTCAGATCTACATACATATGGCTGCTCCTTCACATCACTCATGTCTCTGCTCAAAGGACACCTCACCAGGGAGAACCACGACGTCTAAAATAAACCCTCTGTCCACTTCATCATTCCCTTCTCCTCTCCCTGCTTTGTTGGCTTCGTATGATTTTTCACAAATTGAAATTCTATTGTTTCTCTCTAGTTAAATAAATTAAAGGCCTGGATAGTTTCCTAAACAGGGACAAGGAGAGACATGGAAACCATGCAAACATACCTTGTACTTCAAGTTTGACAGAGAATGTGCTCATATGACATCAGAAACCTCAGATATTTAGGGGTCTACTAAAATGAGTATAAGACCTGTACAGTAAAAACTGCATAACATTTGCTGAGAAAAAGTAAAAACCAAAATAGAGAGATATACTATACTCATCGACTGAAACACTCAATATTGTGGCAGATTATATTTTCTAAACATGAACACCATAATATATTCTTTCCCCTAGGCTTTTTTTACAAAATAACTATCACTTTTCCCATTGAGTGACCGATGGCTCTTTCCCTTGACCTGGTGAGGGGAGGGTAACTTTTTCACTAGCTTGACCAATAGATTATGGCAGAAGTGATACCATATGTCTTCCAAGGTATGTCATAACATTCCCATATGCTTCTGACTAGTTTTACTGGAACATCTGCTCTTAAGAGTCTGGACAACATGTGGTGAGGAAGCCAAATTTCCACGGAGAGGCAGAGGTTCACAGAGAGAAAGACAAACAGAGGTGCCTGGCCTTCATCCTGGCTGAGCTCCCAGTTGACAGCCAACCCCAATTTGCCAGCCATGTAGGTAACCCATCTTGGGAGATGATCCACCACTCCCAAGTTGAGCCACCTCAGCTGACACCACATGGAGCAGAAATGAATCTTCACTGTTAAGCCCTGCTCAAATTGCAGATTGGTGAGCTAAATAAATGACTAATTTAAGCCAATAGGTTTTAGTGTGGTTTATTATGCAGCAAAAGATAACTTAAGATTTTAATTTTTCCAAATTAAATATTTTTTCTTTTAAAAGATATGTTTTTATTGATCTTAGAGAGAGAGGAAGGAAGAGGGAGACAGAGATAGAAACACTGTTGAGAGATCCACATTGACCAGATTGAACCCGCAACCAGGGCATGTGCCCTGACTGGGAATCAAACTGGGACCTCCCAGTCCATGGGACAACATTCAATCCACTAAGCCACACCAGCGAGGCTAAATATTTTTTCTTTATTGATTTTAGAGAGAGAGAGGAAGGAGGAGCGAGAGATAGAAACATTGATGAGAAAAAACATCAACTGACTGCCTCCTGCACACCCCTCACTGGGAATTGGGCCCACAATCTGGGCATGTGTCCTGACTGGGAATCGAACCAGTGACATCTTGGTGCATGGGTCGATGCTCAACCACTGAGCCACACTGGCAAGGCAATTTTTCTCCAAATTAACCTACAGATTCAATGCAATCCCAATCAAAATCCCAGAGGCTTTTAAAAAAAGAAATTGACAAGCTAATTCTAAAGTTTATAAATGTACTAAGAACTTAATACAATGTTGGAAAAAAAGGAAGAGTTGGAAGCCTTACTATAAAGCTACAATAGAGTCACACTTACACGGTCAATTAATTTTTTACAAACGTGTCAAAGACCTTGAAAGAGAAAAGGATAGTCTTAACAATATACAGTGATGGAGGTGAATATTCATGTTAAAAAAAAAAGGAACCTCAACTCTTATTTCAAACCTCAATTCTTATTTCATACCACACACAAAAATAACTTGAATTGTAGGTCTTAATATAAGAAGAATATAAACTTCTAGAAGGAAACAGAAGAAAAGTCTTCATGACCTTAGAGGTATTTAACAAATACTTCCAACTCAGAAAAAGCAGTAACCATTTTTAAAAGAAAAAAGTTGATAACTGACTCAACAAAATAATACATATAATCCGACACAGGACTTTACAACTCAGTAAGAGCCCGTACAACAAAAATGTGCAAAAAAATTTGAATATACACTTCACAACTTCAGAAGACATCAGGCAGTGTGGTTCAGTGGTTGTGTGTCAACACATGTACCAAGAGGTCGCTGGTTCGATTCCCAGTCAGGGCATGTGTCCAGATTGTGGGTCCAATCCCCAGTGGGGAGCATGTGGGATACAGCCAGTTATTCTTTATTATCTGTATTTCTCTCTCTCCCCCTCTCCCTTCCTCTCTCTCTAAAAAAAGGAAAAAAAAATTAAAAAAAAGAACACATTTCACTTTTTAGCTATTATAAGCTTGTATCATGTACAAGCTTTTGTGTAGATATTTTCATTTTCTTGGGTATATATATTTAGGAGTGAAATTGCTGGGTCATATGGTAACCATGTTTAACTTTGAGGAACTGCAAATGTTTTTCACAACAGCTGAACCATTTTAAATCCCTAGCAATTAATGTATGAAGGTTCCAATTTTTCTGCATTCTCGCCAATTTATTTCTTTTCATTCTAGCTACCCTAGGGGGTGTGAAGTGGTATCTTATTGTGGTTTGCATTTGGATTTCCCTAATGACTAATAATGCTGAGAATCTTTTCATGTGCTTACTGGCATCTGTATCTTCTTTGGAGAAATGACTATTTGGATGCTTTGCCCATTTCTTAATTGGGTGTCTTTCCACTGTTATAATTTTGGATACTTAATCCTTATCAAATATCTAACTTGCAAATATCTTCTATTCTGTAGGTTGCCTTTTCACTTTCTTGATAATGTCCTTTGCTTTTATTTTTTTTGTTAATCCTCACCTGAGAATATTTTCCATTGATTTATAGATAAAGTGGAAGGGGGGTGGGAAGGGAAGAGAGAGAGAGAGCAAGAGAAGAAGAGAGGGAGAAAGACATCCGATTGGTTGCCTCCTGCATGACCCTGTCAGGGGCTGGGGATTGAACCTGCAACCCAGGTATGTGCCCTTGACCAGGAATCTTTCCTGCAACACTTTGGTCCACAGGCCGATGCTCTAACCGCTGAGCCAAACTGGCCAGGGTGATAGTGTCCTTTGAAGCACAAAAGGTTTTACATTTTTGATGAAGCACAATTTGTTTTTTCTTTGGTTGCTTGTTGCTTGTCATATCTAAGAAACCAATGTTAATCCAAGGTCATGGAGATTTACAATTATGTAAACTTCAGATTTTCATAGTTTAGCTCTTACATGTAGGTCTGTAACCCATTTTGAGTTAATTTTTGAATACAGGGTGAGGTTAAGGGTCCAATTTCAATATTTTGCATGTGGATATCCAGTTGTCTCAGCACCATTTGTTGAAAATACTGTTGTCTTCCCATTGAATTGTCTTGACACCTAAAGTTGATTTTTTTTTGGTACATGCCCCTAGCGGGAACCAAACCCAGGACTCTGGTCTGCAGGCCAATGTTCCAACCACGGAGCCAAACCGGCCAGGGCTAAAGTTGATTTTTTAAAAATAGGTAAGAACAATAACAATCATTGGAATGCTTGCGGGAGCATAAGTTAAGGAGGTCTCCATGAGAAGTGCCCCACACCTGTAACCCAGAGGTCAGAAGTTTCCACTACCATTCAGACATCAGAAAAACACTGCCAAAGTCACAAATCTCCTCCGTCTGGTTAAAAGCGGTGGAAGGCAGAATCTTGTCTGTCCCTGAAAAAACTCACATCTGCCAAAGCCTATATACCAGTGCTGGCAGATGATGAACATCTTTTGCTTTCATTCAGCAAATGTTAGTACTTTCCTGGGAATGACAGAAAAAAAAGAGGCTTGTAATAGAATTAGAGCTTCCCAGTCTTCTCCGAGAGAAAGGACAATACAGGTTTATATGGAAGAAATATAAATTTGCATGTCCACCAATTTTATATATCATAAAGCATCCTGAGACCTAAAACATACATATGACTTGACAGTAATGCTACATGGATGCTTGTTATAGCTGATGTGCTGACTGAAAGTGATATGAAACTTATGAATCTAGTCACATTTGATATAAGTATTCTAGAGTTACTATATAAATCTGGATTATTCTGACAATGCCCCCCAAATCATATTAGACACTAAGAATTTATAATCTGAACTTTACAAAGTATATAATGAGACTATAATTAGGATAATTTGGGACGAGATTCATTCTTGATAAAAGAGAACAACCCTGGCTGGTTTGGCTCAGCGGTTAAGGCGTCGGCCTGTGGTCCAGAGAGACCCGGGTTCGGTTCCCGCTAAGGACACGTACCTCGGTTGCAGTTTGTCCCCGGCCCTGGTTGGTCGTGCGGGTGGCAGCCGCTCGATGTGTCCCTTTCACGTCGATGTTTCTCTCTCTCTTCCTCTCTCCCTCCCACTCTATCTGAACAAAAAATGGAAAAATGTCCTCGGGTGAGGATAAAAAAAAAGAACAGTACTTTTCTTTGTTCACATTGCACAGCACAAATTCACTTTTTTTACTTTTAACTGTTTGATGTTTACTAACAGAAAAATAATAATAAATGGTAATAAAGATATTATAACATGTAGTCATAAAAAGGTCCTGAAAATTTAAGACCAACTACAACTTTGACTTTAGTAATCTCTTTATGTCAACAAAACCTTCTATGACTGTTTTTGTAACAGGTTGGGAAAAAATTCTACTTCCCCAAATCACCAATCCTTTTACTTCAGCTCAAATCATAGGGCTTCACTATAATATTTATTACTATGGTTTCAATTTTATTTTAGAAGTGAAACTTCTGAAAGTCTGTTATAACTAATGTCATACTTACTTTATGTCACACTATTAAAATGGATAATGCACTTCAGAAACTGAAGCGTGTAGTACATGTTCATTCAAAAACACCCACAAACTAAAAAAGGTATTTAAAATCTTTATTGTTTCATCATCAAAAGTTTTCTTTCCATAGAAGAATGGCAATGAAGTATCAGTGCATATTCTATGGAAAATTCATACTTTAGGTACCTAGCCTAGAAATCAGAGACAGCACTATGTCAAGCTAGTGTGCAAGATCAAAGACACAATGCTGCCAATGCAATTAGTATACAGAAATATGCAGCTGTTAGAAAGAGTCTATGGCCAAATGACTAAAACAGCTGCAGTGCACTGCACTGACATTCTAGAACAGAAAGTGGGGAAGGGTTAGAGAATGTACTTACTGCCAAAGAATAGAGTAGATCACAGGCACTGAGTTCCCAATGGTTTCACCAGCTAATTCATGCGAACCTGTACCTTCCTCTTCGAGTCTACAGCATTATAACTCTGCAAGCCATTTTCAGCCTAATGTGCAGATGGGATAACCACAGGCAGTATCTCATTCTGCTTCCCATCTCACAGCTAAAAGTAATAACTTGTGTTCCGCTATAAAACCTGTGACTTCAGGCATCTTTAGTAAAAAGATGACCAAATCTAAAATTTGTTCCCCTTTTCTTGAGAAATAAACTTTATAAAAAAACAAAAGATAGCTGTCATGATTACTCAGTTTTGTCTGAAGGTAAAACAATTTTTTATGTAAGTATACTGAATAAACATACATACAAATGTCCTTAAAATACTCAGACCAATTTTAACCTTTTCATAACTAGCTCCTGAAAAAAGTACTGATAATTGTGAGCTGCAAATAACCATTACAATCTGATCATGCCTGGCTACTGGGAACTTTGGGGTCAGGTTTGTCTGAAGCTGCTGCACAGCTGGATGTGGCTACTTTGCATTAATTCACACAATAATGCCATTTGAAAGGAAACAGCAGCTCTATCATGATGAAACAAAAATAAAAACAACTGAGAGGTATACAGGAAACTTGTCTTAAATAGTTTTAAATTACATATGATATAACATTAGAGAATAAGAACTACAATTAACCACTGTCTAAATCTTAAATTGTTAATGCATGAATTATTTGCAAGACTAACAAGTCACTTGTTAATCATGTCAAAGCCTTGTGGGGCAGGGGGCACTCTGAATGTATGGCATAGCAATTACCTTTTCAGGTGAAGATAAACACTTCTAATTTAAAGTGTTATTAAACTATATTTGAAAAGTTATTTTATTTGATATATACATTGTATAAAATAAGTTAAAAGGAGGGAGCAGGGAAAAGTTTTCTGGTATATATGATGCAAACATACAACTTTCCCTTCTCAGTAGTAGTTCCATGAATGTCCATTTTACCCGTGGCAAAACATGAAAGGCTGATAGGAGATCAAAATGTCCCCTTATAATTAGAAACAGGACTCAAAAAATGAAATTTGAACATTATTTCCTCCCACAATGCAACTCTTTATCAAAAACATAAATAAAAACCGTATCTCAAAAATTTGTTTTTACACCCTTAAAGTTTAACAAAAATTTCTTCAAACAATTCAGAAGAAAAGCACTCCTCTGTAGCAACTCCATGAAATAATTTCAATTCACAAAACACCTCTTTACTGGCAAAACCAGCAACCATTATGGATGGCATGGGCATTAATACTTGGCCCTTCTGAGGTATAAAAATGCAGCTATATTTGCACTGAGTATATAGTCTATAAGGTATGCCAACACTGAATGTCTGCATAAAATTGGGAGTGATGTCATCCTGACTGATTGAAAACTTACTTTTGTAACTTTTTGTAATAATGAAGGTTAAATAATTTTAAAAGATATACTTTAGCCCAGTAAAAGCCAGCAGAAATCTAATTCCTAACCAATGTGAATGGTTATTGCATTTAAAAAATGTTTAACACTGTATACTGATTAAAAAACAAAAACAAAACTAGACAAGGGAAACACATAAATATTTAAATTCAGCAGGGCACCACAAAAAGCATACTATGGGTAAGTGTGAAATCAGTCAAGCTTTTCCAAAAGAGAAAATCCTTTTAATCCTTTAGCAAGTCTCTGTGAAAATAGTATGCTTACAATAAAAGTGAGAAGGGAGCACCTAGAATACCCCCAGGAGGCTTGCTACACCATTCAGCATCGCTGCCCCATTTCCTGTGTGCATGATGACCAACGAATGACAAGAAGTCTATCTGACAATAGTTCAGTAATTTCTTTCACCACTGCTGCCAGCTGAAGTCGTCATTGCTTCCAAAGACCAAGAAAAAGCCCAGTATAGTTGCAAAGATGACTGTGTTTCCTGTGAGAACAAGTGCACAAGCTCCCCACGCAATCTATGGAAATAGGATATAAACGTTTAGTTCACAGACACATAAAAATGAAAAGCAAATCTAGGCTCTAGTCATATGCCAATCATGTTCTAAAACACTACTGAATACTTAATGGTACTTTTATATCACTGCATTTATCCTTAATTCCTTTAAAAAGACAAAGTCCTCTCTTCCGTTTTGCAGCCATCATAGAAGCGCCAATGGTCAAAATGAAGTTCAATCCCTTTGTGACTTCTGACCGGAGCAAGAACCGTAAAAGGCATTTCAATGCACCTTCCTAAATTCGCAGGAAGATTATGTCTTCTCCTCTTTCCAAAGAGCTGAGACAGAGTACAATGTTTGGTCCATGCCCATCCGAAAGGATGATGAAGTTCAGGTTGTTCGAGGACATTACAAAGGGCAGCCAATTGGCAAAGTAGTGCAGTTTACAGGAAGAAATATGTCATCTACACTGAACGAGTGCAACGGGGGAAAGCTAATGGTACGACTGTTCGTGTGGGCACTCACCCCAGCAAGGTGGTCACTAGACTAACACTGGACAAAGACCGCAAAAAGATCCTTGAACGTAAAGCCAAATCTTGCCAAGTAGGAAAGGAAAAGGGCAAATACAAGGAAGAAACTATTGAGAAGATGCAGGAATAAAGTAATCTTACATACAACTTTCATTAAAACTTAAAATAAAATAAAAATAAATAAAAAGACAAAGTCAGGAAAGATAATTAATCAAAAGCAAGCTTGACTCTGGACTATGAGGAGGCAGCATAACATTCTATAATTTTCTGTTTATGAAGAAATTTGCTCCAACTCTTCTTAATGAATCTAAAATATTATCTAGAGAGCAGATTAAATTGAAAGTATAAGAGGTGAAAACACACTCATGTACATTCTTTTAAAGGGGCAGGAGCAGTAATTGGCCTCTCCATATGGAGGGAGGCCAGTCACCATCTTTTCTACTTCCCCAGAGATGAAAGAGTGAATCTATGACTGGAGTTTGGGAGGAAGAACCGTATACATAACGCAGCTTTCTCCTCTTTTGTACTTCCCCACCTGCAAAGAACACAAGATCTCCTTGGATCCTCCACATTTCAAGCTGTTCAGGGCAGGTCTGTGATTGTTCAGCACCAGGTTTGGTTGTTGTGCCCAATTCTGACACCAAAGTATCAGCAAACCAACTGTGCTGCAGATCTGAACCATGCTTTCTAATATCATTTTTATCAGTTAACAAACAACAAAAGTTCTTTTTTATCTTTATCCTTCAGGCTCCCATGACCCTTATCTCTTTTTCACAAAAATTTTTTCCTGAGAAAAACTTTACATTACATTAGTGAAGAATGTATTTACTTACCAAGTGTGCTCTGGCAAATACAATAGGGAGTCCAAAAGCTGAGACAACAATGCCTGTTGTAAGAAATATGGCAAGTTCCTTACAAGCGTTACTCATAGCATCTGTATCATCCACTAATCTTCTTGCTATGCAGTATGGAATAGGCGAAAGGATGTAAAAAAACAGAACAAAGAGGGGCCAGTATTGGCTAGGAAAAAAAAAAAAAGTTAATGTAGTTTTGCCATCTATGTCATTTTCCTACACATAAAAATATGCTTTTAAAAAATAAGGGCCAAAGGAATATTGCAATGTACAAAACATGATACAGTTTAAACGTAGGCTATAATCTGAACACTAAAAAGGGGACAGAGTCATAGTATTCCTAATGTCAGTTATAATACAATTAGTAAAATATTTCTTATATTAAAAGAAAGTGCTTTATAAATATAACAGTTGGAACCAAGGTCCAAAATTTAAAATATATTTCATCTTAGGTTATAAATAAAGAGGCATATAGAGAATGGGAATATCACAGTGATTTTTAAAATTCGAAATTCATGCCCTTAACTTCAGTGATATCCTGCCTTAGCACAGAGCTGGAACACCTCCAAACTTCTTAGGTCACTAAGAAATCCCAAAATACTGAAATCAAAATAGAGAAAATGAACTGAAAGAAATATTGAAAACTTTCAGCCAGAATATAGAATTTATTACAATAAAAATAAATGGCTTTTAGTCTATTGTGTAGCTACCATGTTGTCATCTCCTGGTTATGATAATATAACTATAGTTATGTGAGACAGTATCACTGAGGGAAACTGTGTGAAGGGTACAGGGGACTGCTCTGTACTACTTTTGCAAATTCTGGAGAGTTCATAATTATTTCAGAATAAAAAAAGTGTAAGAGTGGAGATTTGTTCATACAGGCTTATACCAAAAATTTATCTATATATTTACTAAAATATCTTTCCCTAAATACTTTAAGAATAGAAAAAAAATCACAAATGAACATGTTTAAGAAAAAAATTCAAACAATACAAAAAGCACAAAAAGTGAAAACTTGCCCTGGCCAGTGTGGCTCAGTTGGTTGGAACATTATTCTGTACAGCAAAAGGTGGTGGGACTGATTCCCGATCAGGGCACATATCCAGATTGGGAGTTCGAGCCCCAATCCAGAGGTGACGGGGAAGCAACCGACTGAGGTTTCTCTCTCACATTCATGTTTCTCTCTCTCAAATCAATAGTTGCCCATATCTCCCCTGATTTTCTTTCCCACTCTATTGAGCTTCTCGTGGATCCTTCCATATTTCCATATAAAGAAACTTAGAAAGAATGAATGAGCCCTGGCCGGTGGCTCAGTTAGCTGGAGCATCCACCTGTACACCAAAAAGTTTCGGGTTCAACTCCCAGTCAGGGCACATACCTAGGTTGTGGATTTGATCCCAGGTCAGGGTGCACAGGGGAGGCAACCAATCAATTTTTCATTCGCATCAATGTTTTTCTCTTGCTCTCTCCCTTCCTCTCTCTAAAATCAATGAACATATTAATTTTATTATAAGCAATTTGCAGTTCTTTTACATACTTGTTGAAAATATACTTTAATTTTCTGTATTTGTTTCATTTTTCTATTGAGTTGTCTATATTTTTCTTACTAATTTATCCTATTAAATTTTAAAAGTTCTTTCTATCCTAAGGAAAATAATTGCTTACATAACCCTTTCTCCCCCTTAGTTAACGATTTCTTGGCTCTGCTGTGGTATTTTTTGCTAAAAAGACATCCTTAATTTTCTTGTATGTAATTTTATCAGTAGGTACTCAAAAGCGAACAGTAGCTCTGGGTTACTGTGTTGCTGTTTTGCCGTTACAGACTTAGCAGTAGCAGTCTAGGAGCACTAGCCAAAAGTCTTGTTTTTTGTATTTTGGTGTCCTAGAATATTTACAAACAAATTTTAAATGAAGACTTTTAAAAAAAGGGTTGTCGCCAGTAAATGAACATTTCTCAGGATTACTTTTACAGCAGTAAGTTAATAAATAAATAAATAAATAAAATTTAAACTTTAAAAGTGGAAAAATGCTATCCTTATCTATGCAAAAAAACACAAAAATTTTACATACTTGTATATTGGAAGGGCACATCCAAGCATCAAAAACATCAGCCCAATTGCTCCTCCAAAGGACAAACTAATCAAAGCTGCAAAGTAAAGAAAAAGTCAAGGAGAAACAGTAATTAAACTAAATTGATATTTTTTTTATTATTAGCAGTCTGAACATGTAATCCCAGAAGTAAAAAGCAAAACAATACACACAAAAACAAATGTATTAAAAGTGAGTTACCTCCCTAAGTGTAAATTACTTAGTCTCAGAATAAGACTTCTGTAGCATCTTCAAGGCAAAATGAAATAATATTGATTTTCAAAGCTCTGACCTACTGCTAGCACACCACTGCACTCCCTAATTACTGGTTCCATTCTCAGTCTTCAAGATCAATGCTCTTCTAGACAGTATTATATTTACTCCACAGATCATTAGTTTTGAAAAACAGAATGTGGAGAAATGCCACTGTCAGCTTTACTAAACTTAAGCCTCATCCTTTCGGAAAATCAGCTTTCACTTCTTATACATATGTGCACCCCAATGTGTGCAAAACTGATAAGAAAAGTGTCCCAGGATATCTGTAGTTAATAATTTTAATCATTAATTGTTAAAGATCTTTATTTATTTTTCCTAATTGAGTTTTTTTTTTTTTTAAGAGAGAGGAAGGGAGAGGGAGAGAGAGATAAAAACATCGATCAGCCACCTCCTGCATGCCCCTAACTGGGAGCTGGGCCCACAACCTGGGCATGTGCCCTGACCGGCACGGGTCGACACTCAACCACTGAGCAACACAGGGCCGGCTGTTACAGATGTTTAAATAGTTGGCAAAGCTAGCTGGGTTTCCTCCTCTAATCTCCTACACATTAGAAAATGTGCAGGACAGTGGGTACATCTTTCTGTGGTATCACTATTTTAAGACGTTATCTCAAGCAAAAGATGTGTTCTACAGGTGAAATAGACTTTCTAAAGTTATACACACATACTTATACAAAGCATTATATTTTACAAAGGGTTTTCACATATATTAGTGAATCAAAACAACTTTCTTGAATAGGTATATTTAATCAATGGCCTAGAATTAGGCAAAGAAATAAATGATCAAGTTCTATATGACCTACATTTCTGCAAGTACATGCCTAAAACAATAACTTACGTCTTTTTTTTAGTGATGTAGTTAAAATTCCAAATATTTATAGAAGGTCTAAAAGTTATCAAGATAAAATCTAACATGTAAAAACCAAAATTAATCTTAAATGGGTTCAATGTTGTCAAGTGCTACTGATACTTCTTTGAATTAAAGTGGGCATAATCAAGGAAACCCACTGACATGGTAACCTGGCAGATTCAGTGTTCACTTATATCACTGATGTAGGTCATGTCAACCCTGAACACATTTACTTAGTCTTTAATGCCATATTTTCAGTTGCAGAAACAGAGAAATTTTTGCACTTGTATTCTACAGCAAATGAGGAAGTTTACAAGGGAATCCAATGTAAACGATAAGCAAAATACTGAGTTTACCATCTGCTTTGGTCAGTTCAATATAGGTCCTCATGCCCTGTTTACTTCCCTTGACACATCATCAATCACAGCAGGCTACTCACTCTTGCTTCTGCATTCTAGTGACACTGGCCCTCTCTCCTTTTCTAAAAATTAGCAGGTTCCCTCACCTATGTGGTTGTTGCACATGTTGTCTCTTCTACCTCAGACACTTCTTTATTCTCTCATTTCATTAAAAGATATTTACTGAGCACTAAATATGTAACAGGTGATGGGGAGATGTGAATAAACAAGATAAGGCCCTTCCACGTTCAGGGAGCTTCATTCTTATCTTCCTACTCCTTTCCTCTTTCTTCCAAGTTAATTTCTACCCTTCCTTCAGATCTCAGCTCAGTCACTGCTTACTCAGGAAAGTTTTTCCAAACCTCCTAACTAGAATAACTCTCATTTATTTCCTTCCTTCCTTCCTTCCTTCCTTCCTTCCTTCCTTCCTTCCTTCCTTCCTTCCTTCCTTCCTTCCTCCCTCCCTCCCTCCCTCCCTCCTTCCCTCCTTTCTTCGTTCCCATAGATGTTTCTGTTTCTCTCTCTCTCTCTCTCTCTTTTTCCTCTCTCTAAAATCATTTTTTAAAAAAAATCAAAGCTCTTACTCTCAGGAAATTTACATTCTAGCAGGAGAATAAATTGTTTTTTTAAAAGTCAGCAAATAGCCCTGGCTAGTTTGGCTCAGCAGTTAGAGCGTCAGCCCTCAGACCAGAGTCTCAAGCTTGATTCCGCTCAAGGGCACATGTCTCAGTTGTGGTTCGTCCCCGTCCCTAGTCAGGGTCATTCAGGAGGCAACCAGATGATGTGTCCCTCTATGTTAATGTTTCTCTCTCTCTCTGTCCCTCCCTCCCTCCCTCTCTATCCGAAGATAAATAGCAAAAATATTCTTGGGTGAAGATTAAAATAAGTAAATAAATAAATAAAAAGTCAGCAAATAGCCTGGCGGTGTGGCTCAGTGCTTGAGTGTTGACCCATGCCCCAAGAGGTTGCCAGCTCGATTCCGGTCAGGGAACATGCCCAGGTTGTGGGCCTGATCCCCAGTGCGGGGCATGCAGGAGGTGGCCAATCGATGTTCTTTCTCATCGATGTTTCTCTCTCCCTCCCGCTCTCTCTAAAAATTTTTTTTAAAAAGCAAATAAATGTAAAGTGCTATGAAAAAAATCAAGCAGAGTAAAGGGAAGGAGTGCTGTTCCAGACACAGTGGTCTGGACGAGGTGACATCTGAGCAGAGATCTGTATGGAATGAGAAACTGGACCACGTGGGTATCTGGGGGAGCATTCCAAGCAGAGGGACATACATGTACAGAGGCTCTCCTTACACTGTACACCTCCCCTTTGCTCAGTTATCACAGCTGTAATTTACATTGATTTGTATTTGTCTTTCTTTTTAAACTGTTCGCTCCACAAGAGAAAAAGTGTTTCTGTTGTTGATGCTCACACCCCAGCTCTTAACACTCAATAATAAATATCTGTAGAATGAATGAAAGGAACCAAAGGGATGGGGGTGGGGGAGAAGGGGAGGGGAGGGGGGCAGAGCAGAGGAGAGAAGTGGGGGCAGGAGGAAAAGGGATGGTGGGAAGGGAAGGGGAAGATAGTGTGCATGATGTAGTCTAGTAGATACAGCCCTTAACTGAAGTCAGGAGATGCTGGGTCCTATCTCCTACCAGCCTCCTACTAGCTGTCTAAATACAGTGATTATATCTGAGTGTCAGTTCTTTCTTCTATAAGAGTTGGACTAGATCTGAAATGAAAATAATTCTCTGAACACTAAAGGTATTTGTTATAAGATCTGCTGAAGTAAAAAACCATCTCTACTTTTTTAATGTAGTTGCCCAACAGCTGAGTTCACCACTATAAATATATAGTAACACATTTATTCAGAAGCCAATTTAGTCAGAATATAGCTTAGAATTCTGGGTCACTAAACAAGAGTCACTAAAGAGACAAAATATATGTCACAAAACCTATACACTAAAGCTAACTTTCTTTATAAATAGACCCTTAGGCTCTTGTTCAGGGATTATTTATTCATGTTTTGTAACAGTTATTGTGTGTGAATTTCAGAACAAAACAATTTTATTTTAAAGAATCATCTATGCATATATATAGATATATATATATAGTAATTCATGAATGCAGAACAAAATTAATTGAAAAGTAACTTTCCCTTGCAAAAGATTAGTTACCTGTATTTTGTGACATAAAAAATTTTAAGTTTGATGATTTTGATCTCCATATTAAAACAAATGAAAAAGAGGTAGAAATGATATAAGCAAGATCTGCCCTCTGACGGGGGGAGGAGACTGAAAAATTCTACAAAAGCATACCACTTTTGGGAATCCTGGCCAAGAGGCAAGTAGCCTTAGGACTCTGTCTCTGAAGGTAACTGTTCTGTGACCAAGAACAATTATTTATGTTCTTATCATCAAAGAAGTAAGTGTAAATTCTTTGAGTATACTCTTAAAAAGTTAATGAAACACAGTTTCTTCAAAAAAATGAAGAAACTAAAATAAGATAAGATTCAGGTATCAAAACATAATTTCATATGACGTACCAGTCATACTGGATAAAAGCCAATGGGGTTAAATAAATTACTCAAAAGTGTTCCCAAAACTTGTAAAGTTTCTCCAGTCTTATGAAATCAGCAACTAGGCAAATTTCATCATTTGTATATAAATGGTTGTCCTAGATGACATATCAACACAAGAATTTATACTGTCATTGAGTGATGCAACATTCAGAAGCAAAACTTAGATGAGTCGCCCTGGCCGGTTTGGTTCAGCGGTGAGAGCATCAGCCATCGAACCAGAGTCTCAGGTTCAATTCTGGTCAAGGACATGTACCTCTGTTGCAGTTCATCCCCGGCCCTGGTCGGGGTTGTGGGGGAGGCAACCAGTCTCTCTCTCTCTTCCCCCCTCCCTCCCACTCTATCTGAAGATAAACAGAAAAATGCTCGGGTGAGGATTAAAAAACAAAACAAAACACTTAGATGAGTCTGGTTTCTCTTCCCAACACCTCTATGCTAGGGATGGAATAGCTCAATTATCTAAACTCTAGAGACAGGGTGCTGGTTCTGTGATCACAAAGAAATTAGAGTAGGAAAGGAGTCCAGTTCCCTAATCTAGGTATTACCAGAAAAATATATAACAAAGCAACAGGCAAGTGGCTCTGGAAATAAGTAATGAACTCCAATTACAGCAACACTCCTCTTTAATAAAATAGGCCAACAGGAAGAAAATATCCTGATAAACAACCATAATTATAACAATCAGAAAATCGTACTGAAACCCAAAGTGTTAAGTACAATTCCATCTGAGATACTTTCACCTAGTTAATGTTTACCTAGGTTTACAGGAAGAAATTACAGTTATTTTTAGAAAGAGACTCCTGCATTAATGACACTGAAGAAATGGAGAACAGGGAAACTGGCAACATCCTAAAAACCACAGCATTTTTTTTTTTTTACCATAAATGCCTTTCACACAAGGATTTAAAAAGGTCTATTATGGTTCAAAAGGCGATTATAAAGGCTCTCAGTTGCTCAGATGACAACATTTTATATAAGAAACAAAATGTTTCCAGAAATTAAAAAAAACAAGTGACTCTGGGAAAAATAGCTCAAAATGTCTTTAAAGGAAATAAAAGACACAGAGGAAACATTGCTATCAAAGTTCTTCGCCGCCCCTTTTACAAAGCCGCAGGTCAGGAACTCAACGAAGTTCGTTGTCAAGCTGAAAACGCTGTTGATGGTACCTGCTTCGACTCACACTAACAGAACGACCAGTTGGAAAATATGCAACATTCCTATTTCTATACAAAATGTTCCCTCAAACGACTAGTTTTTCATTAAGTTTTAATACCATTTAATCTTTTAAAAACCCAATTAAATAAAAACTTTGAAATGTGAAAAAGCCTCAACGTGCAAGCGTGGAGAAGGCAGAGAAGAGGAACACTTTGAAGTCGCCTACAGGGTCCAGCCTATGGCACAAAACCCACAGATCAAAATGCATCCGTCTTAGGAGCGTGGACAGCTTGGAGTACGGGTCCCGAGAGTGGATGGGATCACCAAGGTCTCGGAAGGAATCGCCCCTAACCCTTCCAGGGTGCTCCTGAGTGACTCGGTTGGGCTCAGCACTGGAAGGTCACACTTGCGCCTTTAAGTGGGAAATGACACTGATTTCCCGTAACTGGCATCTCTTGTGGTCTCAGCCCCCGAAACCCACATTCTGACCTCCTGTCTCTCGGATGCAAACTCGGCAAAGCGAGTTGCTGCGGGACTTTTAACAGACCGCGGACCCCTTCAATCTTTGTACGGGGGGAGATGGGCGGGCAGAGAGGCTGCGGAGATCAGCGGGGGCTGACGGGGAAGCCGCGGTGCCTGCGGTCGGGTCCCGGGGCGCCGCGCCCACCTCCGCTGCGAGGGCGGAGGCGGGGATCCGGGTCGGCCTCCGGAGAAGAGCCCCTGCGGCGCGCGCTCCGATGGGGCGGCGGCGTGCGAGGGCCGCGTGGGACCCCCACCCCCTCGCTTTGGGCGGCCGCACAGTCCTCCTGCGCCCTGCGCCCCAGGCCCACCTTTGATGCCGGCCATGGCGGTGACGTCGCTCCGGGCTCCAGGACCGAGGCGGCGGCGGTGGCCAGGAGACCAGAGACGCGCGGCGGCGGCGACAAGACAACACCCGGAAGTGCACGACGCAGCCGCAGCACTTCCGCCGGCGGCTCGCACTGGCGCGGGGGGCGCCGAGGACGCGCGGGCTGGGGACTAGCCGGCCGACCCCTTCCTCCCCTGCTCCGCTCCTCGCAGATCGCCGCCCTCGGAGGCTTTCCTCCCAGCCCCACTTCCGGGGCGTGCCGGCGCCGGCCCCGAGCTGCTCCGGGTCGGCGGAAGCTCCGGTACCCGGCGACGTTCCGTGTTCTTGGAGGAGGAGGAAAGAGCGCCAGGGCCGCCGAGCTTTGGGAGGCATGGGGTGTGATGTCCCCGGGGGAAGGTTTTGCACCCACTTCTCTCTCGGTCCAGCCCTGTCATGAAGGAGAGGAGGGCCAGTTGGCTGGTCTGCACTTGGCTCCTCAGAACTAGGGATCTGGTGAGACCCATCCCCAGAGATAGGAGCAGCGGGGCACAGTAAAGGGTGGATTTAATATAAACCCGATCTCTTGGAAATCTGAGGATCGCTGTTTTTTTTTGTTTTGGTAGTAAAGTAACAGAGCTAGGGGGAAAAAAAAGGAGAAAGCAGAGGTACAAATACATTTACTTACGTAATCGTAGAAATTTACTGTGTTCGGAACAGGGCTAGGAGCCGAGGTCAACAAAAAGGTTCGGTTTCTGCCCTCCAGGAGCTTGAAGTTCGGTGAGAGAGAGAGACACAAAAAATCGTGAAAAATTGCAACAATAATTGCTAGGAAAATGGGTATACAGTCCCATGAAAGCCTTCGATTTAGATCAGTCAGAACTTCCCCGAGTGGGGGACAAGGGTGGGATGAACAGGTGTGTAATTAGAGAAGAGGGAAAGCATTAACTGGGAGGGGATTGTGTGTTTGTGGAGAGAGTGGGGTGATGAGTTTGGGTGGCAAACTGGGAGGGAGCCTGGAGCTTGGTCGGCTGTAGAGGAGAGGCCACGGATTGCTGGGGTTTGAGGTAGGCAGTATGGTTATACAGCAAGGTCCTATAGAAGGAGCCCCTACCGCCGCCCCCAGCATTGAGAATCTTTGGAGGGTTTTAAAAAGATACAAGTGGAGGTGGGTGATTTAAGATTTGAATTGAAATCTTTTCAGTCATCAGACTAAGATAAACTAGCATGTAAGATCTTGTTGAGTGAATAGTTGGAAGAGGTGTTTCCAACGTGCTTTAAAATGAGAGCTGGGCATCCAAGGTTGAATTTTTAAAAGATAAAAAATTTAGCCCTGGCCAGTTTGGCTCAGTGGTTGAGCGTCGGCCTGCAGACCAGAGAGTCCCGGATTCGGTTCCCGCTAGGGGCACGTACCACAAAATAATAAAAATTAAATAATATAAAGTAAAATTTTAAAAAATAAAAAATTTAAAATAGGTCTCTTCTTGAAGCTTAATGTTCCAGATAAATCTAAAGGTATCTCATGGAGGAGAACCTTTTTTCTGTTCAAGTTTGCGCAGAAAAGGTCTGCCATCTGTACCATGAAGAGTTTCTTCATTTAAGGAGGGTGGTGGAAAAACCACAAGACACACTTAAACACATGTGGAAATGTTGCTGTTCAGACTGTCTGTGAACCACTAGCTTTCCTTTTCTAAACTGAAGCAGACAGACATCCCGCTTTCCAACCATCTTTAAAGAGATAGAATTCCTGGAGAAGTAAATGACTCCATCCCAAACAATCACCACTAACAACATCTTTTGTTTTGTTTCACAGTATTCTATTGTTGTAGACCAACGAGACAGACCAGACTCAGACTCAAAACTGGGTTCAAATTAAGAGAGCTTTATTAGCCGTGGCGACTGTTCCATACTACTCAGAGGAGAGAGCAGCCCCGAGCTCAGGGGGAGGGTTGCTTATATAGTTGTTTTAGGCCCTGTTAAGGAATATGGATTAAGGGTATGCGAGCAAGCAAGCTCATACAGAAGTAGATATTTGCAGTTAGCTGTTATGCCTGAGGGAATAATCAGTTTCTGTGTACACAAAGCAATGGTAACCTATACAATGCAGTGGTTACCTATATAATGCAGTGGTTATCTATTAGCAGATAGTTCTTGCCATTCCCTTAAAAATCCAGGGGCAAGGTCATGTGTTTGTCCTTTACACTATTCTTGAAAGCAGGAATGGTTGAGGGAACAGCAGAGAGATAGTTGACCAGTGGCGGTGTATTGGGAAGTGATAGGTTTTCATCTCTTAGGCTCATAGCTTAGCTCCTGGGGAAAGATCACATTTTTTGGAAGCCTTTTGGAGCTCCCAAAAGCCCCAGTGGCAGAGTTAAATGCTAGTCTCCTAGTTTTCTCTTGTGGATATAAGGCATTACAGACATTCCTCCTTGATGACCTTTATGGACAACTGGGATTGTTCTTTAGATTAGAGGGATCTTTTGTTTCCATGGTCACTGAATCCTAAGAGTTTGTACTCCTTTGACTTTTCCATGAGATCCACAGTGTTTCTAGGAAGAAAACACTCACTACCCCAAGGACTATTTTTGGTCTACAGATGTTATCTAGAGTTACTTGAGACCTTAAAAACAGTATGTCTAAATGTTGTAATTCAAAGACCACCTACAACAGAATTCTTTGGAATGCTTCCTAAAAATGCAAACTTCTGGGTCCTACTCCCAGACATTCTAAATCAGAACTTTTGTGGGCAGAGCCCAAGAATCTGAAATTTTAACAAGCACCCTAAAGATTTCCTATGCAAACTAAAGCTTAAAAATAATTGTCTAGAAAGGGCAGAATGTCAGGAGTCTTCCTCATCAGTTTACCTAATGAATCCTAAACATTAGTAATGTTATATCCTTTAAATGTTCTCTAAATATTCTTATATAATAACCTTTAATAGTTTCAAAGCGTTCCATATGGCTTGCTGTCCTCCAAAGTTAATTCACAAAGATGGGGATGGGCGTGGGAGAAAGAGAGCTGTTGTTTATTGAGCAGCTGCTATGTGCCTGGTGCTTTAAATATTTATCTGATATAATCCACCCTAAAATTTTGTTAATTTGGAATTACTAACACTTACAGATCAAGTCAGAGAAACCTCAGAGAAGATTTAAAAAAATTTTTTTTTCTTTATTTTAGAGAGAGAGAGGAAGGGGGAAGGAGAGAGATGAGAACATCGATTGGCCACCTTTTGCATGCCCCGCACTGACCCCACAACCTGGGCATGTCCCCTGACCGGGAATTGAACTGTTGACCTCTTGGTGCATGGATGCTCAACCACTGAGCCACACTGGCTGCTCTATTTTGTAGTTTGTTTGAATCAGGTTCACACATTGCTACTGCCATATCTAAATTCTCTCGTTACACATTGTAGCTCTTCCTGTGGCATTAAATGCCGTCTTCATTTTGATAACATAATTACCAAGTTTACCTTAGCTTTGAAATTCAAACTTGTAAATCCAAGTATCTATTTGACATGTCTACCTGGATGCCTACTTCAAACTTAACATGTTGAGAATTCTCTAATCACAACTTTATTCCAGTTGTGCTTGGTCCCACTCGAAGCCACTACTGTTCTGCCTCCTCTTGTTCCACTCTTCCCCTACCTTTGCTTTAGTTATACTGACATTGTTTGCCCCCCTAGCCCCCCAATTTTGTTTTATTCACTGCTGTATCCCCAGTGCCTGGAACAGCATCTGGCAGGTACTATTAGTTACTGGTAGGTGCTCAATATATAAAACTATTGGTCGAATTAATGAATGATGTTCCTCAAAACACAAAGCTGGGGCTTTTGCGTCCACGTTGGTTCACCAAGTCATGAAGGCTGTTCCACTTATGTCTGGTTCTTATCGTTCAGGTCTCAAAACTTCCAAATAATTTACTCAGTAAGGTCCTCCTTGAAGTCATCTTCCAGTCTCTATTGTATCACCCTGTTTTATTTTCATCAATGCACTTATTATTACCCATTATCTTAATTTATTAATTTACTAGTTTTGTGTGTCCTGTCTCACTTCAATGTAAGATCCTTGAGTACAGGGACCTTGGCTGTATCCTCCATGCCTAAAACAGTATCCGACACATATTAGGCATTCAATCTATATATGCTGAATGAATGAATGAGAGAAACCTAGGCCTGCCAGACCTCAAAGATAATGCCTCTGCACTCAGAACTGTTTTTTTCTGGCTGTTTCTTCATTTAGGCAGTAGTTTCTCCTCCTGATATTTTGTGAATTCTTACCTCCACCACGCACAAGGAAATATGTAAAGGCTCTGAGCTTCTGAAACCAGACAATTATTTTCATGGTACTTTTTACTCAAATTCTCTCTCTATGTAGCAAACCGTAATAGAACATGAATAATGAGCCAGAAGCTATGCTAGGTGCTGAAGACAAAGCGAGTAAGGCACAATAACTTCCCTGCGAAGGTTTCTGAGATTTTGTAAATACTTAACTACACACATCTTAGATTTTGCGTTGCGATGGTTTCACTCTCTCCAACCGCCGCACCTACTCCAAGAATCTTCCTGAGAATGGCCCTTGGCCCCGCCCACAGCGTTGCGTCACCCTTCGGCTGGGTCCTCAAAGGCAAGGCCCCGCCCTCGGCCGCACGGAGCCTCTGGGGCGGGGCCAGAGGCGTCCATCCACTCTCCCACGTAAGTCGCAGCGGTAGTGACGTGAGACCGGCGCGCACAGACATTCGTAACTGCTGCGGCTGTGTGTACAGACCGTCGCTTCTCCGCTGCTGGAGTTTTTGGCGTCCCTGTGCCGCTGCGCGCGGATTTCTATAGCCCCGGTTCGGGCCCGCGAATGCCTGGCAGCCGCGCGCCATCTTCGCCCAGCGCCATGGCCGCGGCCGGTGGTCCCGGAGCGGACAGACGCTGCCCTCTTCTCGGCCTCCTTTTGCTTCTGATCGCAGGCCCAGCCCTGGGCTGGAACGACCCTGGTGAGTTCTGTCTTCACTCGCCCATTCCTGTCGCCGTTAGCCTGCTCCGAGAGGCTCCGCCAGCTACCATTTTCACTCTGAGCCTTTCTGACCTATTTTCTCATTATCATCCCCTTCGCTGTTCATCTGTGCCCTGCCTGCCGCCTCTTCTCTTCCTTGACGCCCGACGGGAGAGTGGGGAGTGTTGAGTTGGTGGCGCGGGGCGACTCAGTTTTTTTTCTTTTTAAATCCTCACCGGAGGATATTTTTCTTTTTATCATCAGATAGAGTGGGAGGGAGAGAGAAACATCCCTGTGAAAGAGACACATTAACTCGCTGCCTCTTGCAGGACCTGGGCCTGGGACCAACGGCAGCCGCTGAGGTTCGTGCCCTTGACCAGAGTGCAGCCCCCATTCTTTGGTACCGGTGGTCGCTCTAACCGCTGAGACAAACCGGCCAGGGCTGTTTTTTGTTTGTTTTTTAATCCTCACCCCAGGGTACTTTTCTGTTGATTTTCAGATAGAGTGGGAGGGAGGGAGAGAAAGAGAAAGAGAAAATAATCCTTACCGGAGGGTAGTTTTCTATTTTTCTCCAGATGAATGGGAGGGAGGTGGAGAGAGAGAGAAACATGGATGTGAACATGGACTGGTTGCCTTCTGCCCTATCTGACCAGGGCTGAGAGTCAACCACAATGAGGTAGGTGTCCTTGACCACAATCAGCTGGAATCCAGCTGACTTTTTGGTCCGGTGGCCAGATGCTCTAACCACTGAGCAAATCGGCCTGACTCGGTATTCTTAACGTCCTCTTTCTTCCTTCCCTGGACTCCCAGAATTTGGCCGCCTTCACCTTTCTTGGGCTTCAGCCCTCATTCCGATGTCAGGCTGGAAAGTTCAGCTTTGTTGTCATGACTGTCTGATGTCGTCATTGCTGGCTGTTGTCATGGCTGCCTGTTGCTATGACTGGCAGTTTCCTTGACACCGGCAGCTTATGCCTTAGACTTAAAGGACAGAACAGCAAACCTGTAGGTAGTTTAGCAGAATCCTGTATTTTGTGGATACTCATTCTTCTTATTCGCACCATTACAGTGAAGTGCATTGTGTTATGCCAGCTTTTCTTATTGTTTTACACTGTACTCTAGAATTTAAGAAATATTTTCATCTTATTTTTTGTGATGGAACATGATAAATGATTTTTAGGGAAAAAGTTCAGGGCTTCAGCATATGAATTTTAGTGCCCTTTAGGACCTCTAGAGGAGAAAGATGCTGTAGGGTTATAGTAATGATACCCCATGTGTGTGTAGCTCCATAACATTCTCAGTAATATTTATTATACATTATCATCTATTGTGTGTCGAGTATTCTGCTAGAGAATTTTAGTAATCATATCTATACTTCACAACCAATTTTAAGGTTGATTTATGTCCTTATTTTACAGTTGAAGAAATTTCCATACAGATATGTTAAGTGACTTGGCGAAAGTCATAAGCGAGGTGGTGATGGAAATGGACTGCATTTATAGACTTATCTTTATTGTTGAATGTATTACAGATGTTCTCCCCCCTTTTTTCCCTATTGACCCCAATTCTTCCACCCTCCTGCCTTACCCACACTATTGTCATTGTCCATTGAATATGCATACATGCATAGAAGTTCTTTGGTTTATCTCATCCCTCCCTCCCCCCTTTCCTTTGAGGTTCATCAGTCTAACAACCAATTTATACTTCTTAATTCCTTCATCTTTTTCACCCATCCCCCTAACTCCGGCCCATCTGGCAAGCAACAAAAAGTTCTCTGTATCTAGGAGTCCATTCCTATGGTAAAGCCTTTGGAAAACAGCTTAGGTGGGCCCAAAAGTTGGGTGGGGTGGGGCCTCAGGGACCAGGGTGGGACAAACAGTGTGAGCCAGGTTGTTGGAGTCCCAGATAAAGTGGCAGGTCTGTCTCCTCAGGGAAGGGCTCACCAAAGGAACATCAGTCTCCCACAGCATGTCTGTCCAGGAGAAAGCCGCCTTTCCAGCCCTCCTGCTGAGGCCGAACAGCTGAGTTCTTCCCTGTATGTCTCTGGTGCCCCTCAGGTTGCCTCCCCTCGGAGTTTAGAAGGAGCAAGTCTGAGGCTGTGCCCGTGCCCTTTAAGAGGAGCTGCCTGGGGCTCCAGCTGCCTCAGCCTCCTTCTGCCTCAGTTTCCAGCCAGAAGTGATGGAGACTTCTCTTCCGGGCATTGGAGCCCTGAGCTAGGAGCCTGGCGTGGGACGGGGACCCCTCACTCCTCAGGGAGGACCTTCCCAGCCCAAGCGTCGTCCTGATTTTTATCCGCCACATGTAGATGTGGGACCAGTGTGGCTGCTTCTTTATTTTCATAGTTGTAGGACTTCCATTCAGGTCAGTATCAGGCAGTTCTGAATGATGGTTGTGTTGTAGTTTAGTTGTAATATGGTTGTGGGAGGAGGCGCTACCGGGTTTATCTATGTTGCCATCTTGACCTACCCTCATGACTACAATGTTCTTTACATTATTTTAACGCTGCTACAATAAATTCAGGTTATTATTATTCCTGTTATTTAGTTTAATAATACTTTCTGATTTTTTAAACCATTGAACATTTTTATTGTTACAGTTTTTTATTTATGAAGAGGTAGTTTGGGTTTAATATAACATGTTATTTAAATATAGTTCTTGGAAATTTTATATATTTAGCCCATGTGGAATTAAGTTTTTATATAGCTTTAGGTAGACTTTCTTCTAGCTGTATAGTAAGTTATGCCAATGTCATTTATTGAAGAAGGCATCATTTTCCCAGTAAATTTAAGAGCTTACTTTATCTGATACTGAATTCCCACATATATCTATATTTCTAGATTTTCTTTTGTTTTACAGTTCCATTGTCTTTGTTCCAATTCCATACTGTTTTGGTTATAGTAACTTTATAGTAAACTTTATTATCTGGTAAAGCAATGTATTTTTCAAAAATTTTTTTGGCTATTTATAGATACTGATTTTTCCACAGGACCTGTAACATAATTTCTTTTGAGTTTACCCAAAATCCAGCTGGATTCTTGGTTGGAAGTTCATCAAGTTTATTTAGGTCTTACACATTTTTTTTTTAATATATAAAGATCACACCTTGACCTTAAGCTTATTTCTAGATATTTTGTATATGTAGTTTGTCATTAATTTGAGATGGGCTTTTCGGGGGTTTTTTAGATTTTTTTTTTTCTTTATTGATTTTAGAGAGAGAGGAAGGGAGGGAGAGTGACATAGAAACATTGATGAGACAGAACATCGATTGGCTGCCTCCTGCATGCCCCCCCACTGAGGATTGCGCCCACAACCTGGGCATGTGCCCTGACCGGGAATTGAGCCAGCAGCCTGGTGCATGGGTCGACACTCAACCAGTGAGTCACACAGGCTAGGCTCTGTTTTCATTTTAATTGGATATTACAGGTATAGAAAAAACTGTTGGCTTTTGGTAATTGATAAAATAACCAGCTGCTTTATCCAATTCTCTTGCTATAACAGGGTTATCTTTTGGGAAGTTCTCTTGGATTTTGTATGTCCAGAAACTAAATAAAATGTGTTTGTGTTTTTTTTCAAGTGTGACAGACACTATTGGATCATTGCTTGTTACCTTCTTGTCTCCCTCCATGTAAATACTAGAAAAGTCAAATAATCATTTTACTAGAATTCTTTGATGCTGAATAATTCTAGTCAATCTACTGGAGGAATTCTGGGAAAGATAACTTTACATTTTGATGTAAAGTTGTCAATTTTTTTATATTCTTTGTTTTTTTCCAAATTTCTTTTTTAAAAAAGTTGAAATATAGGTATTATGACAGACACCACTAAATCCTTCAGTATTCATCTTTAAAAAAATAAAAATAGTTCAGCCGGTGTGGCTCAGTGGTTAAGTGTTGACCCATGCACCAAGAGGTCGCCGATTCGATTCCTGGTCAGGACACATGCCCAGGTTGTGGGCCAAACCCCCCAGTGGGGAGCATGCAGGAGGTAGCCAATCGATGTTCTCTCTCATTGACGTTTCTATCTCTCTCTTTCTCTCTCTAAAAATCAATAAAGGAAAAAAAAATAAAGTAACTTCTCTACACATAGTAAAAATAACATTACACTCACAAAATTAATTCTAATTTCTTAATATCAATTATTACCTACTCCATATTTAGGTATCACAGTTGTTCCTCAAATGTTTTAAGCTAGTTTGCTCAAACCATCACCCAATCCAGAATCATGCATTACATTGATTGAATTATCTCTTAAATCTTTTAAAGTGTAGAACAGCTCCCCTTTTCATGCTACTGATTTGCTTGAGAGATTGGGCCAGTTGTCCTTTATAATATCCTTCTTTCTGGATTCTGTTTTCTCAAAGTGTTGTTTTAGCTTGTCTGTTTCTTCCTTGTATTTTTAATAAACTGGATTAGTTCCAAAGGATTGATTAGATCTATATTAAATACTTTGGGGGATTACATCGTAGGAAATGGTGTAATATCAATTTGTTCTACTATTAAAGATGCCAGGATTGACTAGTGGATTTTAGTGACTTTATTTCTCCTGCGAAGTTAAATAGTTCCCGCTTGTGACTAGAAAGCACTCTGTGTAATACTACTTTGGTACCATACCAGTGTGCCTGAAAATTCTACCCTCCTGCTTGAGTGACAGTCTGGAATTCTATACCCAGCCAAACATTTTGCTTTAGGGTTTTGAAAACATTTCTCCATTGTTGTCTTCTGTCCTGTTGAGATACTGGAAGCTTTTCTAATTTTTTTTTTTTTTTTTAATTCTCACCCTAGGACATTTTTCCATTTTTTGTTCAGATAGAGTGGGAGGGAGGGGGGGGGGGAGAGAGAGAAACATCGACGTGAAAGGGACACATCAAGTGGCTGCCACCCGCACGACCCAACCAGGGCTGGGGACAAACTGCAACTGAGGCACACACCCTTAGTGGGAACCGAACCCAGGTCTCTCTGTACCGCAGGCTGATGCTCTAACTGCTGAGCAAAACTGGCCAGGGCTAATTCTTTTTTTTTTTAATGCTTACCCAAGGATATTTTTCCATTTGTATCTTCAGATAGTAGTGGGAGGGAGGAAGGGAGAAAGAGAGGAGAGACAGACAGGCAGACACATCAATGTGAGAGAGACACATTGATTGGTTGCTTCTTGTACCACCCCAACCAGGGCCTGGATGGACCGCAACCGAGGTACGTGCCCTTGACTGGAATTAAACCTACCACTCTCTGGTCTGCAGAAGAACCTTTGAACCACTGAGCCAAACCAGCCAGGGCATATAATTTTTAAAATATGTTTTTATTGATTTTTAGAGAGAGAAGAAGGGAGAGGGAGACAAAGAAACATCAATGTGAGAGAGAAACATTGATTGGCTTCCTCTTGCACGCCCCCTACTGGGGATCCAGCTGGCAACCCAGGCATGTGCCCTGATGGGGAATTGAACTGGGACCTTTCTGTCCATGGGATGACGCTCAATCCACTGAGCCACACCGGCTGGGCTCTTTTCTAATTCTTTTTCTTTTGTATGTGACCTGTTTTTCCTCTTTTCTTCTGGCAGTTATTTGTTGGCAGTTATTGTCTACAGTGTTCTAAGATTTCAAAGTGATGTGCTTTTGTGTGCATTGTTTTGAAGCCCTATTTATTGAGTTATTTTAATATGACAGCTCACATCCTTCAGTGTGGGAACTTGAAGTGTATCACTGAGATATTTCAATCTGATTACTCTTTCTTTCTGGAACTCCTGTTGGATTTTTGGACTTCCTGAACTGGCCTATAATCCCTGCCACCGTGGCCCACCACCCACTTTTCATCTTTTTGTTCTATTTTCTAGGAGATTTTCTTACCTTTAACTTTTTTGTGTGTTTGTGTGGTACGTGCCCCTAGTGGGAACCGAACCCGGCACTCTCTGGTCTGCAGGCCGACGCTCAACCGCTGAGCCAAACTGGCCAGGGCTACCTTTAACTTTTAATAGTTCTTTTGAATTTTTCATTTCAGTTGCTCTGATTTTAATTTTCAAGAGCTCTTGTTTTGTTTGAGTGTCCCTTTAAAAATGATTGTCTTATGGATGCAGTATTTTCTTTTATATCTTTGAGGATATCATAGCTTTAAAGAAGTTTTTTCCTTTAGGTATAGTCTCTCTTTCCTCCAAATTGTTTTTGTGGTTTGTTTTGGCCTAGTTGTTGTATTTCATGTTAGTGCCTTTCCTCATAATTTTTAGTAATTCTTGGCTTTCTGCTCAAAATCAAGGGTGGGAACTAAAAAGCTGATTGGAAGCTATCAATGTAGGATTGATTGGTGCTTTTGGACTTTAAACTTTATTGTGGGGTGACCCGGTAACTATAGGGTTACTTGGGTGTGTGTGTGTGTGTGTGTGTGTGTGTGTGTGTGTGTGGCGGGGGGAACTCCTGATGTTGGTATATTCAAGTATTTCTTTCTTGATTAGGTTTCAAAGGGAATAGACTTCCAGTTTCTCAGAGGGCAAGCGAATGGTTGCTAGGATTTTGTGGGCCATGTGGGGAAAGACGTCTGTGCTTGCAGCATTCAGAGTGCAGACAGTTACTTGGGATCTCTTTTATGCTTTTGCACCCAGGCCCTCTACTGTGCCAGATATCCTCTAGTACGAGCTCTTTGATTGTATCCTCTTCAGAGAACGTCTCCAGACATTTTCCTGGGTAGAGAAAGGGCCATCGCAGCAGCATAGAGCTGGGGAAAGTTTCTGGGATGTAGCTTCTTCTCAAGTAGCTTTTACCTTGTAGTGCCTATTTTAGGCATCTCATGTTCAAGAACTGCCAATTTGTTTTCTTTTTAGGGACTCCATTATTTGTGTCAGATTGGTTCTCAGTTTTCCATCCTCCTGGTCTGGCATTCGGCTTTTGTTTAGGTCTACTCCCTTACCGTTACACCACCTCCTATATGCTTGTACCTTTCCAAATTCTGTTGCCATCTCTTTTGCTATTTTACTTGACAGTGTTCATTTACATCACCAAAACAATCCATTTATTATAGTTTCAGTGGAATTTGGGTGGCAGCACAGTCTCCTAATTTGACAGGTTGAATATAGGGAATTAGGTACTTACAAAATGGTAGAAAGTAATGCCTGCTACATGCAGCAGGGGAAAGTGGATTGCTCACATCAAGCCTTTTGACACCCATGGAGCTAATTACAGGATACTGGAACACTGGCAGGAAAATCCAGGGCCCCCATGACTGCTTGCTCGTCAAAGGACACAGCGCATTTTGATTTTAAGGTCTGTTCTCCACATGTGACTTGAGTTCCTCTTTTGGGAACTATGGCTCCAAGAGTTTTTGGAATCCTTTTAGCTTTGCCAAGGAGGTGTACTAAATTTGAGGGTAAAATGGATATTGAATGAAACAGTCCACAGTAATCTTCCATCATAATGCAAGGGTGATAAGTAGGAAGACTGTTCATTTTCCAGTAACACTTTAAAATTCATTTATGTACATGAAAGCTAGACATAATTTTCTTGTCTAAAGTTTTTGTTCTTTTAAAATATTTTTTCTTGCCCTGGCCAGTTTGGCTCAGCGGTTAGAGCGTCGGCCTGCGGTCCTGAGAGACCCGGGTTCGGTTCCCGCTAAGGGCACGTACCTCGGTTGCAGTTTGTCCCCGACCCTGGTTGGTCGTGAGGGTGGCAGCCACTCGATGTGTTCCTTTCACATCGATGTTTCTCTCTGTCTCTCTGTTCCTCTCTCTCCCTCCCATTCTACCTGAACAAAAAATGGAAAAATGTCCTCCGGTGAGGATAAAAAAATAAAAATAAAATAAAATATTTTTTCTTTATTTATTTTAGAGAGGGAGAGAGAAATAGAAACATCATTGAGAGAGAACATCAATTGGCCGCCTCCTGCATGACCCCTACTGGGGATCAGGCCTACAACCTGAGCTTGTGCCCTGACTGGGAATCAAACTGGCGACCTCTTGGTGCATGGGTTGATGCTCAACCACTGAGCCAAACTGGCTGGGCTAGAGTTTTTGTTCTTAAACCTCTTTGTCAATGTGATTTTTAGTTTGTGAAATAGTTTAAATATTTAAACATGTACACAATGAACATTCATATACTCACCACCCATTTTATTGAACCTTCACATTTTATCATATTGGCAGCAAATCTGCCCACCCAAAAAGTAATTAAACATTAGGGATAGAGAACTAAATCCTCTCTTCTCCATCTTTCCTCAGAGACACTCACCTGAATTTGGAATTTAATTATTCTTGTGTGTGTTTTCATACTGTCATAATATACACATACATTATTATATGGACATTAACAATATGTAGTTTCCAAGGTTTATGTACTGCTATCATACTAAACATTCTGAAACTTTCCTTTTGCTTAAAATGTTTTTAGTATTTCTACTTTGATATATGAATTCTAGTTCACTCATTTTAACTGCTGTAGAATATTCCACTGTATGAATAAGGCAAAATTATATGAATCCATTCACCTGTTGAAAGACATTTAAGTCTTTAAATGTACTTCAGAAACATCGATGTATATTTTTTGCTCTTTTTTAAATTTTTTTAATTTTTTTAATCCTCACCTGAGGACATTTTTTCATTTTTGTTCGGATAGAGTGGGAGGGAGAGAGAGAGAGAAAGAAACATGGATGTGAAAGGGACACATCAAGTGGCTGCCTTCCGCACCACCCAACCAGGGCCAGGGACAAACTGCAACCGAGGTACGTGCCCTTAGCAGGAACCGAACCCGGGTCTCTCTGTACCGCAGGCCAATGCTCTAACCGCTGAGCCAAACCGGCCAGGGCTTTTTTGCTCTTTTAATTAACCGTTAATGTTATTGTACAATAGTACATTTCAGGTTAATGAACTTTTTATTCTGATTTTGCAAAAATTATGTAGAACTTGTGATACAGCAACAGTTTAGGGGGCATGTGGTCTGAAATGAAGGGAGCCTTAAAGGTATGACCACTTGAATTTTGTGCAAGAGGACTGAATGTTGTTGGTATGGCTTTGGAAGACCATTTCATCTTTTCTTTCTTAGTCATCCTCAAAAGGTGAGAACGACATTTACTTTGTGTGTGTGTGTGTGTGTGTGTGTGTGAGAAAGACCCTTACGTTTGAGAATATTTAATATGCCAGGCGTTTTATTAGGATGACTTTCTACGTTTGGCGAGGTATTTACTATTTGTTTATCTGTGTTCTTACTGTTTCAGACAGAATATTGTTGCGGGATATAAAAGCTCTTACCCTCTACTATGACCGCTATACCACCTCCCGTCGGTTGGATCCGATCCCACAGTTGAAATGCGTCGGAGGCACAGCTGGATGTGATTCTTATACCCCAAAAGTTATACAGTGCCAGAACAAAGGCTGGGATGGCTATGATGTACAGGTGATATTCATTACATTGATGGCAGTCTGAATGGGATTTTTATTTAATAAAGTATTTATTGAGACATTCAGTATTTTGGAGAAGCACGTACAGAAAATCTTAAATTAACTTAAAATATATAAATATAAATGTCATTTATTCTCTGGAACAAACATCCTCCAAAAGAAATGCACTGCTTTTATTTGTGTAATTAATTCATTTTTGTATTGTTTAAAGTATTGTTTAAAGTAAAGATATCACCCCTTTTCCGCCATTGACCCCCTCTTCCCCACTCCCACTGAAATGAACTGATTTTAAAGCCTGGAAATATTCATTGTAATTTTTGTTCTATGACTTTCTTATAAGATGTTAGTATTAGTAAATTTTTAAAACTTTTTGTATACTTAGGGGAAGTAGAGGATTTCTTCTGGTTGTCATTTTTCTGTCATTCCTCAAAGAATACCAACCTACCCTTAAGAAGTAAAGTTAAGATTATAAGGAGTGGGGGTACATATGTATCCCTTTTGTGCTTCATACACTTGATTTTAAAATTGATTTGGAACTGAGGGTGGCTGCTTCTGAACCAGAGCATTTCAGTGGGCTTTATTTGTTGTCTCTGGGACTCTGGCACTTTATACTGAAGTTGGACCATCTTCTTGAAGTTCTAAAATTTATTATTCTTTTTTTTTTTTTTTTATCCTCATCTGAGGACATTTTTCGATATTTTGTTCAGATAGAGTGAGAGGGAGAGAGAGAGAGAGAGAAACATCGATGTGAAAGCGACACATCGAATGGTTGCCACCCACACGACCCAACCAGGGCTGGGGACAAACTGCAACCAGTTTGTGCCCTTAGCGGGTACGTGCCCTTAGTGGGAACTGAACCCGGGTCTCTCCAGACCGCAGGCCGACGCTCTAACCGCTGAGCCAAACCGGCCAGGGCTAAAATTTATTATTCTTTAGAAATGGAATGGATTTTATTAAATGAATTCAGTTTGAATCAATATTGTATTTCTACTTTGTATTCTGATTGCTTTCAAAAAGGATTTAAGATAACTGGTCATTTGCAAGAAACTTGTGTTGATGATTTCCCCTTCCATCAGCATGATAACCTTTGTGCATGGTTTGTGCAGTTCAGAGAAAGAGTTCATGTTTACTAGGTGATACTTATTTCACAATATATTTTCCTAGTATTGCTAACTGAATCACAGAATCTTCAGGTTAAAGCAGAGTCCCACTTTCATTTTACTTTTTTTATTATCTTTTTATTTAAAAAAAATTTTATTAATCCTCACCTGAGGATATTTTTCCATTGATTTGTAGATAGAGTGGAAGGAAAGGAGGGAGGGAGGGAAAGAGAGAAACATCAGTATGAGAGAGACACATTAAGTGGTTGCCTCCTGCATGACCCTGACGACAGGGGCTGGAGATTGAACTTACAACCCAGGTAAGCCCTAGACTGAGAATTGAATACATGACCCTTGGGTCCACAGGCTTATGCTCTATCCATTGAGCCAAACCAGCTAGGACTTATTTTACTTTTACAGTCTTGATGGATAAAAAGATACTAATGGTAAAGTTGTGCATTAAACATATGAAATTGTACACAAAAATAAATAAGATGGAGTGATAACCCTCAAGAAACTCTCTTCCTAGTAGAAGAGATAAGACAAGCACTCAAATTACATGTAGGTGCCAAAAGTGTTATAAAGTCATGTAATTTATAAAATTGAAGGGATTGGGGAACCCTTAAAGAAGGAATGAGCTGTGTTAGGAAGGAAGGGCAAGATTTTTGGAGCTGAAGAGAGAGAAGGAACTAGCATGAGCAAAGAAGTGTAGGGGATATCATACACTGACTTGTATGAGCGGGAGAGAGCCTCTTCCGATTCCAAAATTTACATATAATAATTAGAGCCACTTTTAATATACACTGTTAAGGAAATGACCATTAACATGAAATACAAATAGAGATTTAGTTTGTTTTCTTTACTTAAATCAGCAAGGTTATAAATCTTCCTCCAAATGAAATTATTTAAAAAATAAATGATGTAGCAATAAGGATTACAAAATAGAAAAATTGTATTATCCAAATTAAAAATTTCTGGGCTTCAAAGGACATCAGCAAAGTGAAAAGATAACCGACACAATGGGAGAACGGTTTTGCAAATCATGTATCTGACAGGATTTGTATCTAGAATATAGAAGGAAGTATTACAACTTACAGAAGACAAATAACCAGATTTAAAAGTGGGCAAAACATCTAACTAGACATTTCTTCAAAGAAGATATGCAAATGACCAACAAACAAATGATAAAACATTCAGCATCATTAGCCACCAAAGAAATACAAGTCAAAACCACAATGGTTTGGCTCAGCAGTTGGAGCATCGGCCTGTGGACCAGAGAGTTCAGGGTTTGGTTCCCGCTAGGGGCACGTACCAAAACAAAACAAAACAAAAAAACCACATTGAGATATCAGTTAACACCCAATAGATAGGCTATAATGTAAAAGACAGATGATGTTGGTGAGGATGTGCTGTAAGGAATGTTAAATGTTGCTGCAGATTTGGATAAGTGTCTGGAAGTTCCTAAAAAGTTAAACATAGAGTTCCATATATCCCAACCATTCCACTCCTAGGAATATACTTAAGAGAATTGAAAACATGTTCACACAAAAGCTTGTGCATAAATATTTGTAGCAGCGTCACTCATAATAGCCAAAAAGAAACAACTCAAATGTCTATTATTGATGAATGAATAAACAAAATATGGTATATCCAAACAATGGAATATTATTCAGCCATAGAAAAGAATGAAGTACTGATACCTGTTGTAACATGTGTGAACCTTGAAAACGTTATACTAATTGAAAGAAGCTAGTTATTTAGGACCACCTATTGTATGATTCCATTTACATGGAATGTCCAGAATAGGGGAATCTATATAGATAGATTGGTGATTGCCTAGGGTTAGGAGATTGAAATAGGGACTGACTGCTAATGGATACGAGTTTTCTTTATAGGGCATTGAAAATATTCTAAATTGATTTTGGTGATTGTTTTAGTATATTCAATTCTGTGAATATACTAAAAACCATTGAAATAGGTGAATGTATGGTATATTAATTATATCTCAATAAAGCTGTTACAGAAAAAAATTAAAGAGTGTTCTCAAGTATGAGAGAAGATAATTTGTCTTCCTCTTACAGAAAAGCAATAGAACCAATCAAATCTATTTTAGCTTGTGTCTCTAAATGTTGTTAAAAAGGCACATTCACCTCAAAATATAGTTATAGAACTTAAGTTAGCCCTGGCCAGTTTGGCTCAGCAGTTAGAGCGTCGGCCCGTGGACCAGAGAGTCATGGGTTCAATTCTGGTCAAGGGCACGTACCTCGGCTGTGGTTTGTCCCTGGCCCTGGTTGGGGTCATGCAGGAGGCAACCAGTCGATGTGTGCCTCACATCGATGTTTCTCTCCCTCCCTCCCACTCGTATCTGAAGATAAATGCAAAAATATCCTCGGGTGAGGATTAAAAAAAAATCAATGAAAAGAACTTAAGTTCAGCCTGGGCTTTCAAATTTTTTATTTATTTATTAAAAATATGTTTTTATTGATTTTTTTTTTTTATCCTCACCTGAGGACATTTTTGCATTTATCTTCAGTTAGAGTGGGAGGGAGAGAGGAAGGAAGAGAGAGAGAGAAATATTGGTGTGAGAGAGTCTCACAGACTGGCTGCCACCCTCACAACCCCAACTGGGGCCGGGGACAAACTGCAACCGAGGTACGTGCCCTTAGTGGGAACTGAACCCGGTACTCTGATCCACAGGCCAACGCTCTTAACTGCTGAGCCAAACCGGCCAGGGCTTGATTTTTTTTTTTTTTTTTTTTATAGAGAGAGGAAGGGAGAGAGACATAGAAACATCAATGTGAGAGAGAAACATTGATTGGCTGCCTCCTACGTGCCCCCAAACTGGGGATCAAGCCCACAACCGTGACATGTGCCCTGACCGGGAATCGAACACCGCAGTCCATGGGATGACACTGAGTCCACTGAGCCACACCACCGGGCTTTTAAGGTGGAAATTTTTGAGACTAGTGTGGGTTCTTTTTGCATTTTTTGAAATAAGTTTTAAAAAACTTAGGAGAATTACATATAGGATTGGACCCTAAAAAGTTAGTCCATGGTTTTTAAAAATTTGTGTAGAAAGTTATTCTCAGAAGGTTATATACTATCTCTAATATTATATATATATTAGATCTTCATATATAATGCTGATTTTTGAGCTTTATCATTAAAAATAAAACCCTATTTTAAAAGAAAGCATCTTGAACAGCAGTGGTAAAAAGTTATTTAGAGAATTTGCTTAAAATTTATAAATTAGGGAATACTTAGTATGTACAGAATAATTCCTTACATCTATATGTAAAGAATAAGGACTAGTAACAAAGTGAACACTTATATACCCACCACCTAGCTTAAGAAGTAGAAAATCAACATCACCAATATTTTCGAGGCCCCTAGCTTGCCCTCCCAAAACAAATATTTGTTGTCCTGAATTTTGTTTATCATTCATTTGCTTCATTTTGCAGTTTTATGACAATTAGATAATCCAAATGATAATAAATTAAGTGAAAAAAAAATTTTGGTTCTAATAATCTATTTTTACTTTTCTTCACAGTGGGAATGTAAGACTGATTTAGATATTGCATACAAATTTGGAAAAACTGTGGTGAGCTGTGAAGGCTATGAATCCTCTGAAGACCAGTATGTACTAAGAGGTTCCTGTGGCTTGGAGTATAACTTAGATTACACGGACATTGGCCTGGAGAAACTGAGAGCGTCTGGGAAAAACTATGGCTTTAACTCCTTCTCTGATAAAAATAATTCCGGTGGCATCAGTGGACTGATTACCATCATGGTGTTTCTTGCTATTGCCTTTGGAGTCTATAAGTTGTTCCTTAGTGGTGGTCAAGATTCTCCTCCACCGTATTCTGAGTATCCTCCATATTCTCACCCTTATCAGGGATTCACCAGCTCAGCAGGACCCCCTCCCTCAGGCTTTAAGCCACAGTTCACAGGTATGTTTGCATAGGCAATGGCAATAAGTAGGGTAGATATGAGGTATGAATCCTGTGCCGTTTCTGAAATAGAAAATGGTTGCCATGGGGAGACCAAGCAGATTTGTCTTCCCATTTTTGTTGTTGTTGTTGTTTAAACATATTTTTTCTTTATTGATTTTTAGAGAGAGAAGAAGGGAGAGAGAGATAGAAACATTGATGAGAAAGGACATCGATTGGCCACTTCCTGCATGCCCCCCACTGGGGCTCAGGCCCACAACCTTGCCATGTGCCCTGACTGGGAATCGAACCGGCGACCTCTTGGTGCATGGGTTGACGCTCAATCACCGAGTCACACCAGGCAGGCTTCCCATGTTATTTTTCACTTTCAACTGCTTTGACTTATTTGTTCTGTTTCTCTATAAGGACATTCATATTACTATTTTAAGCATGCATGATTAAATTATATATCATCTTAATCAGAAAAACTTGATCAGATTTAGTAATGAGCATTTACCTATACACAAAAATTTATTCAGGTATTATAGAGCTCAACGTAAAAGATAAAACAATTAAGTTTCTAGCTAAAAATGTAGGAAATTTTTTTTTTTATCCTCACCTGAGGACATTTTTCTGTTTTTTGTTCAGGTAGAGAGGGAGGGAGAGAGAGGAACAGAGAGAGAGAGAGAGAAACATCGATGTGAAAGGAACACATCGAGTGGCTGCCACCCGCACAACCGACCAGGGCCGGGGACAAACTGCAACCGAGGTACGCGCCCTTAGCGGGAACCGAACCCGGGTCTCTCAGGACCGCAGGCCGACGCTCTAACCGCTGAACCAAACTGGCAAGGGCTGTAGGAAATATTTTTCATGACCTTGGGATAGGCAAAAATTTCTTAGAACACAAAAAATGCCAGCTATGAAAGAAAGATGGATAAATTAGACTTTACTTAAATTAAGAATGTCTGGTTATCAAAAGACAACATTAAGAGAGTGAAAAGGTAAGCTATTATACACTTGGAGAAAATATTTATGACACATATCCAACAAAGGGTGCATATCTAGACTACATAAAGAATTACCTAAGAAAATCCAATTTTAAAAATGGACAGGACTCAAACAGCTATTTTATAATAAAGATGATATCCAGATGTCCAATAAAAATATTAAAAGGTGTTTAGCATTATTAATCTTCTGGGAAATGCAGATTAAAACCATAGTGAATTTGTTATTAACCACCATTTAATTATTAACATTAAAAAAACAGTACTAAGTAGGCAACTGGAACTTGCTGGTAGGAGTTAGAATGGTAAAACAGCCCTGGCCGGTTTGGCTCAGCAGTTAGAATGTCGGCCCGTGGTCCAGAGAGACCCGGGTTCGGTTGCCGCTAAGGGCGCGTACCTTGGTTGCAGTTTGTCCCCGGCCCTGGTCGGTTGTGCGGGTGGCAGCCACTCCATGTGTCCCTTTCACGTCGATGTTTCTCTCTCTCTTTCTCCTTCCCACTCTATCTGAACAAAAAATGGAAAAATGTCCTCGGGTGAGGATAAAAAAAAAAAAGAAAAGAATGGTAAAACACTTAGAAAGTTGTCAATATCTCGTAAACATACCCCTCTATTGGCCCAGCAGTTCCATTCCTAGATACATACCTAAGAGAAATGCGTGCATATATACACAAAAAATCATGCACGAGAATGTTCATTGCAGTTTTATGCACAGTAGCCCCAAACTGGAAACAGTATGTCCATAAAAATTATAATGAGACACACTGTGCTTGCTTTTAACACAATGAATACCATACACCCGTTTAAAGCCCCAAACCTGATATATACAATAGTAGGATTGACTCTCATAGTCATGATGTACCAGACACACGAGTACCTACCATATGATTCCATTTATAAAGAATAAAAGTATGGGCAAAACTAAAGTTGGTGAGACAAGTCAGAGAAATGTGTATCTCTGATGTGGGTGGTTATTTTTAGGAAGCATCATGAGAAGGAAGTCTTCTGGGTGCTAGAAAAGTTTTATTGATGTGAGTTACTTGCATGGATACATACGTACAAATTTACTATGCTTCCCATGTTTGATTAGCATACTTTATATATATTACACATCAATTTAAAAACTTCCTCTGAGCAGAAGACACTTTTTTGGCCCCTTTAAGACCTGACTTTCCAACTGATGCAAACAAACATCTGGCTGCCTCCAGTTGGATTCCTCTGTTAGACACTCTATCACCTGGAACTTTTAGAGATGTTCACACTGCAGAAAGGAAGTAACACTGATAAGTGGGAGTTATTTTCTAGTAGCTCATCTTAAGCAGGGCAAATGACCTTATAGGAAGGCCCCCCCCATCCTAAAATAAATCCTTAGTAATAAACCTGTATTTTACAGATACGCTTTGTTATTGTCAATCCTCACCCGAGGATATTTCTCCATTGCTTTTGAGATAGAGTGTAAAGGAGGGAGGGAGGGATAAAGGGAGACATGTGTGAGAGAGATCGTTTGGTTGCCTCCCCTGGTTGGGGCCAGGGATTGAACCTGCAACCCAGGTATGTATGTGCCCGACCAGGGTCAGATACACTTTTTTGCATACAACTTGTTTATAAGTTGAGGCCTGAGTACTAATAAAAAAATAGTACACAGACAATAATGTGGCAAAGACCCGGGGGAGGGTCGGAAGCTGGGTGGAGGGGGCAAAAGGGGGAGGAAATGGGAGGCATCTGTAACAGTGTCAACAAGAAAATAGTACAGATGAAATGATGGAAAATTTCTCATCATTTTTGTATCCAGGAATGCCTGGTGCAACGTCTGGTTTTGGCAGTGCTTTCACAGGACAAGGACACGAAAATTCGGGACCAGGTTTCTGGACTGGCTTGGGAACTGGAGGAATATTAGGATATTTGTTCGGCAGCAATAGGTAAGCTTTGCATTTATCTCACTTTGTCTTTAATTCAGCTTTTCTTTAGAATTCTTTGTTGTTCTTAGTTTGACTGAATTTGGTTTTGTTAAGGAAAATAAATTATGGTGAAATTATCCTATTAAATCAGGTTCTTTGGGGATGGGGAAATGTATACTATATGAGCCTTGATCAATATTGTGTGTTATTTTCTTTCATTGTGTTTCTTCTTCCTATGTTATCCTTAAAGATAATATGAGATAGGAAAAGACAGTTTACTTGACATCTGCAAAAATGATTAGGCAGGAAAGAACACAACATTTGGGGAGTAGTTGATTATTCTGGTTTGGTAGGAGAATGACAAAAGTAAGGCTGGAAAAAACTGGGAGCCAGATTTTGGAATGTCTTCAATACTATTGGCAGTTTAAGTTTAGAGTTTACTCGAGTGTGAATTCAGAAAGAAAGCCATTTCTCCCTTTCACTTTTTCATTTTATTTTTTATTTTTTTTATCCTCACCCGAGGACATTTTTCTGTTTTTTGTTCAGGTAGAGTGGGAGGGAGAGAGAGAAACATCGATGTGAAAGGAACACATCGAGTGGCTGCCACCCGCACAACCGACCAGGGCCGGGGACAAACTGCAACCGAGGTATGTGCCCTTAGCGGGAACCGAACCCGGGTCTCTCAGGACCGCAGGCCGACGCTCTAACCGCTGAGCAAAACCAGCCAGGGCTCCCTTTCACTTTTTTAAATAAAAATATGTTTCTATTGATTTTTTTAGAGAGACAGGTACGAAGAGGGAGAGAAAGAGAAATATCAGTCGGTTGCCTCCCACAGACACCCTGAACCTGAAACCTGAGTCTGTGTCCTGACTGGGAATCAAACTGGCAACCTTTCGGTGCCGCCAACTGTCTGAGTCACACTGGCCAGGGCTCTCCTTTTCACTTTCTTCCCCATGGCAATAGCCATGATATCAGAAATATAAAAACAGTACTCATGCCATGTTAATCCTAATATACCAGCATATTGAAGAAAACACATTTGATAAAGAATTTTCTTCTGATACTGTAGGGATAGGAAGGTATTTAAAAATTAGCCCTGGCCGGTTTGGCTCAGCGGTTGGAGCGTCGGCCTGCAGACCAGAAAGGCCCGGGTTCGGTTCCCGCTTAAGGGCATGTACTTTGGTTGCAGTTTGTCCCTGGCCCTGGTTGGGGTTGTGTGGGTGGCAACCACTCGATGTGTCTCTCTCACATTGATGTGTCTCTCTCTTCCTCCCTCTCTCCCTTCTGCTCTATCTCAAGATAAATGCAAAAATGTCCCAGGGTGAGGATAAAAATAAAAGAAATAAAATAAAAATTAAAGGCACAAGAGAAATACTTGACACGCTTTTATGTCTTTATAGAGCAGCAACACCCTTTTCAAACTCATGGTACCACCCATCTTATCCTTCATGCTCCAGCACAGGGAGTAGTCATGCTTACTCTCCGCCTCGTGGAAGCTCAGGCAACTGTTCCAGACCAGCGTCAGGTAAGAACAGAAATACAGACGTTTCTATCACGTAGCAGTAAAGTACAGAAATAGTTTTGGAACTTAAGAAGATGATTATATATTTAGCAATTGTGGTTTTATTTGGCATACCCACCAGAAATATTTTTTTCTTTATTGATTTTTAGAGAGAAAGGAAGTGAGAGGGAGAGAGAGAGAGAAATATCAGAGAGAGAGAACATTGATTGCCCGCTTCCTGCATGCCTCCCACTGAGGATTGGGCCCACAACCTGGGTATGTGCCCTGACTGGGAGTCAAACCGGCGACCTCTTGGTGCATGGGTCGACGCTCAACCACTGAGCCACACTGGCTGGGCCACACCAGAAATATTAATAGAAATTAACTGAGATTAAAAATATAATTCAAATTCATCATTTTCTTGCACTTCTAAACATTCTTTTAAAATCAGACAAGGATTTGATTTAGCCTTCTGCCACTAACCAAGGTTTTAACTAGAACCTTCCTGGACATTGGTTTCCATGTCTGTTTAATTCTCTGTGTCTAGGGGTCCTTTAAGCTCTAAAATGGAATTTTTTAGGTTGAAATTTGAAGTTTTTAAGTTCAGTAAAACTCAATAAAAATGTAGCCATACTTTAATTAATGGTCGAGATTTTGATTATAATGTTTATTGCAGTTTCTAAGAGGACATTTTACAAAAAGCAAAGATACTAAAAAACAACTATTTGGAGTAAAACATTCAACTAATTAGCAGAGAATGGGAGGTGGTGGATAATGAGGCAATAATAAGGTGCTGTGGATTAATTCTAAAATTGGTAGAATATATTTAAATATGTTTTGAAATGTAAGAGTTGAGTTCTCCTAGTGCTGCTGTGAATATAAATTAATACAATCCCTTTGAAAAACTGTTTGGCATTCCCTAATTGAACATAAGCATACGCAAGGCTTGGCAGTTTCACTCTCAGATATATAGCAACAGAAATGCATGTACTTGTACACCAAGAGGTAAGTACAGCAATGTTCATAGCATCCCTGTTCATAGTAACCTCCAACTGGACTATCCATCAGCAATAAGATGGAGAATAAATTAAGTTATTCATACCATGGACTACTGTGCAACAGTGAGAATGAATAAACAGTTGTATCAATGTGGATAGGTCTGCCAAATATAAAGAAAGAAACTAGACACAAAAGAATATACAATTGGATTACAACATTCATATTCTGTAAATATACATGTTTTTAAAAAAGCAAAACTAACCTATGGTGTTAGATGCTAAGATAATGGTTACTTTGGGGAGAGAAAGGGAGTAGTAATTGGGAGATTATATAAAAATATAATGACATAGGACACAAGAAAAGAAAACTTACTCTCAGTGGAAACAAAAACTTGTAAAAAACCATGAATATCAACTAGAAATGTATGGGACTTATATGAAGAAAATCATAAAACTATCAAATAACCTAAAGGAAAACCTGAAAAATGGAGACTTTTCAGGTGGGAACACTGTCATTTTGTGACCTGTTAGCACGTGTGCATTGGAAAGTCCGAGACTCGCCCCCACGCTATTTCTTCTTACCACTGGGGTTGAGGGAGGTAGTGGGACATGGCTTGGGCTCCATTGGCTCCTCTACTTTTTTGCTTAGACTTTGTGTATTGCCCGTCCACATTGGCCCCACTGTGGACACATCTTTGGTTTACTGGTTTACTGATGAGGGGAGGATGTCCTGGCTGTTTTGGGGAGGAGCTGCGCCATGTCCTGCACAGCCCTGTTTTGGGCACTCCTCCTGTCCTTCCTCCATCTCTCATTCATTTCTAACAATAAAATGTATCATGTTGTAATTTGATAAGCAATTTTAGTGTATTTAAAAAATAATATAAATTTTACTCTTCTCATTTAGGATATGGTGGTACCAGAAGACGATAAGAAAATAAAAAGTTGAAGTCAAACACTGGATGCAAAGTTTTTGATTTTTCATCATTTTCTCTTTTAAAAAAAAGTGCTACCAGCTAACAACTGGGGAAAGGGTATATTAAAAAATTCTGTGGTGTTTTGTTTTGTATAGCTTTTTGTATTTCATCATTTAATGAAACGAAGTATTGATATTATGACAAAATACTTATGTAGAAAATTGTGTTGGTGTCACATGCAGATGTTTATTACAGTTTTTGAAAGTGATGATTACTGTAGAATGCTGAAAATGTATTATTTAATTTCTAAAACCTGTCAAGTCATGGAGAAGCATTATGAATGAGGCTTTATACCAGTAGACCCTGAGTGTATAAAATGTCTATGTGGTTTCTGTTCCTGAGCCATAACCTCATAGAAACAATAATATATTTGGTATTTAGTATTTGGTATTTGCTATTCTTCAAACATTTAAACCAAGCTTTGAATTACTAATTATACTAATCTGTGGGTTTTGATTACTTTGAGCTCAGGAGCTTTGAATCCTTCTGTGGTGGTAAGGTTCTGGTGAATATTACCTTTTTTAGGAAAAGGTAGAAAAAAACAAGTATCTAGAAAGTTGTTGTGAATGACTGTACTGATAAAAAATTCTTGAAATCTCTTTATTCATTTAAGATGTAAAGTTCAAATGCTTCAACAAAGGTCTTCAATACAAAAGCATGCAATTCTCTGGAATCTCAAATATTGTTGTAGCATCTATTTCAGTCTTACATTAAATTGAAAGAAAAAATAAAAACGAGGTTTCATTCTTATTCTTTTTACCTGCTTTGGATACAAATTGATGTTACTTTTTGTTTTGTTTTTTTACCATTTTTCTCAAAGGAAAAGGAGTTTATGCAGAAGTTCTATCTCCGCAAATGATAATTTCCCATGGTAGTCTTGTCTTAGTTACCAATCATTTGATAAATGTTTTCAACAAAGTAATTTAGAAGTAGTGTGGAAGGAAGCCTCTGCTAAAAATAGCTTAAAAAAGAAAAAAAATCAGATCTCCAAGCCTTTGAAAGTTCTACAATCTCTTAGTTAAGCTCTATAATTTTAATCTCATTTTACCTTTTAGAAACCATTTAGAAACAAACTATTATTTAGACTTCAAAATGTGATTTAGGGCGTAATGGAAGGTACTGTGATTAGATCTAGGCTTTCTTCATCAGTAAAACTTGGTAGACATTTTATGTTACGTTACAGAGGAAATAATTTTTCCTTAGGTTGTTGCAATAAATCCTTACCCTATTTTTCTTTAGTAGAAAGAGATGGAATAAGAGAAAATCCAGTTTATTGCCTTTTTCTCCATTTGCTTATTGTTTGGGTTTCCTTTTTTTTTTTTTTTGCTATAGGGATTGATAATCTTGCATTGAGTATGTTTTATTTGGAAAGCAAAGTAAAAAAAAATTGTTCATTTAGAACTGCTATCGATTGGGCTGATTATAGTGATCTGCACATTAAATTTGCTGTTCTTAAAACAGTGCTCAGATTTGTTTTGAACACCTCATTGCAGATCATTGGGATCATAGGGAAATAGTGAATCCAGAGTTGACTAAATTGGTGGCTTCCAGACTACCCTCAGAAGTCCTAGGGGTGTTCTTTGAGGCTCTGTCAGTGGCTTGGAGGGAAGAGAAGGAAAGATGCTGTGAGTGTAGGGCGGAAGGGCCTCTCAGCCGTCCCTCCCCCGCTTCTCTGTTGTATGTTTATACTTATGAAAAAGCTTCTGAGGTATCACCTTCAAAATCTAAGCCTCAGAATAAAAGACAGGATGGCTGGGTCCCAATTGGGAGTTGATGGCCCACGATAGGGGTTAATTGCAAGGGGCAATAGGGTACTTCAGTTGGGAGCTTGTTGTGCCTGGTTGGGAGGGCGTGAAAAGGAAAAAGTAGAGAGATGAAGGGGAGCTGAAGATAAGTTTGACAATTTTACTCAGAGTTCAGCAGAACTGCTTGGATGTTAGGGTAGGGTTCCTGATATTTTAACCAGTTAGTCGTGTTTCTCTAGTTTGTGCATGTTTCTCTCTGAAGCTCCTTGACCTCTTCCATTCCGACCCCGTCCTCTCAGACTGGCTAAAAATTATCTGTTTTCTATAACATGGCACACATTTTTACTATTGTACTTAGTACATTGCACTGTAATTCTCTTTTCCATGCAGGTCTTTCTTACTGCTCTGAGCTCCTTAGGGAAAAGGATCAGATATCATTTATTCCTGCCCCTTGCACATAGGGCAAAGTCATGTGACAAAATTTTGTCAATCAGAGGCTTCCTCCAGGTCTTTGGAGGTCGTGGCACAAAGATGTGAGGGCAATTAAGAGATTGTTTTCAGTGTGGTTCCCTAGGGAGACATTTGAACTGGACAGTTGTGTTCTTGGCTGGTTGTGTGCTGCCTGGATCCTGTGCCTGAAAACCTGCCTCTTCCTCAGCCTGGTTTGCCAGCCTTCCCAGCGATTCTAGGAACTAGTTGATATATGTTAATAAATTCCTTTTCTGCCATATTTACTAAAGTCATTTTCTTTTGTTTGCTACAAAGAACCTTGATATATATGGTGAATCTCCTAAGATTCTTTAATTCTAAGCAATAGAAACTGGCTAATTGTAATGAAACACTGGATTCACCTAGAACTCTATCTGTAGAGGTGCAGCAAGAACTTAGAGAAATAACCACTCAAACCCGACAAGCTCATCCTCAGTCATTAAAGGACCCTATTCAGCTCTTTGTATACCCAACTGCGCCATACCCTACAGCATTGATAGGACAGTTAACTCCCAAAGTAAAAGATCTTGAACGGATCTTTCCCCCAGCTACCCTGTCTAAAGCAATAACTCCATTTATCGAACAATTAGCAAATCTAATAGACAAAGTTAGTAAAAGAACACAAGCACTAACAGGGTATGACCCTCAGATTCTACATTTACCTGTTACTCAGGAATGATTAACATTTTGATTTCCCAGGCAATGGACTTTCGAGTAGTTCTAGCAGATTTCACTGGGGAAATTAATTATTCTCTTCCAGCAAATAAATTACAAAATATTCATCTATTACACCTTAACATGGTGTGGAAAATCAGTAATATGTCATTACCTGGGTCTAGAACTATAGTCATTGGTGGACCACAAAGCAGGTGCAGCCTGGAAAGAGAAGGAGGATTGGAGAAATAGCCTTGAGCCTGGGTCAACTCAGTACTGAATTACGGGCTGCAATATTAGCTCTTCAGCAATTTACAGAAGATCCCTTAAATATAGTGATTCACAATATGTAATTAAAATGTTATAAAGAAGAGAGCAAGCTTTTATTAAGCCTTTAGCTGATCAGCATCTATTAACCTTTTTTTAAAAATCTTTATTGTTGGATGTAAAATGTATTACAGATGTTCCACATTTTTCCCCCACTGACCCCCTCCTCCTCACTCCCGCCCCCCTCCCACCTTTTCCCACACTATTGTCTGTGTCCATTGGTTATGCACTTAAGTTCCTTGGTTTATTTCTCCCCCCCCCCCCAACCCCTTTCCCTTTGAGGTTTATCAGTCTAGCAATGAATTTGTACTTCTTAATCTCTTCACCTTTTTCACCCATTCCTCCAACCCCCCTCCCAACTGGCAACCAACAAAATGTTCTCTGTATCTATGAGAATGTTTCTGTTCTACCTATTCATTTTGTTTGTAGATTTCATTGCCGATAGATATGTATTCATTGCCATTTTGTTTGTTCATATATTTTATCTTTTTCTTCAAAAAGACCCTTCATCATTTCATATAATAACAGTTTGGTGGTGATGAACTCCTTTAACTTTTTCTTGTCTGGGAAAGTCTTTATATGGCCATCGATTCTAAATGACAGCTTTGCAGGATAGAGTAATCTTGGTTGTAGGTTCTTGCTTTTCATCGCTCTGAATATTTCTTGCCACTCCCTTCTGGCCTGCAAAGTTTCTTTTGAGAAATCAGCTGACAGCCTTATGGGAACTCCCTTGTAGGTAACTAGCTGCCTTTCTCTTGCTGCTTTTAAGATTCTCTCTTTGTCTTGAACCTTTTGCATTTTGATGATAATGTGTCTTGGTGTGGGCCTCTTTGGGTTCATCTTGTTTGGGATTCTCTGGGCTTCCTGGACTTGTATGTGTGTTTCCTTCATCAAGTTAGAGAAGTTTTCTGCCATTATTTTTATCAAAAATGTTTTTAATTTTTTGCTCTCTCTCTTCTCCTTCCAGTAGACCCATAATGCGAATGTTGGTACACTTGAAGTTGTCCCAAATGCTCCTTAATTATCCACTTTTTCTTTTTTTTCTTTTTGTTGTTCTGATTGGGTGTTTTTTGCTTCATTATATTCCTTTTTTTTTTTTTAATCCTCACCCGAGGATATTTTTTCCATTTTTTGTACAGATAGAGTGGGAGGGAGAGAGAGGAAGGGAGAGAGAGTGAGAAACATCGACGTGAAGGGACACATCGAGTGGCTGCCACCTGCACGACCAACCAGGGCCGGGGACAAACTGCAACCGAAGTATGTGCCCTTGGCGGGAACCGAACCCGGGTCTCTCCGGACCGCAGGCTGACGCTCTAACCGCTGAGCCAAACTGGCCAGGGCGTGCTTCATTATATTCCAAATTGATGATTTGATTCTCAGCTTTACTGAATGTACTATTGATTCCTTGTAAATTATTCTTTATTCTTTTAGTGTATTCTTCATTTCTGACCGGTCCTTTGTTATGCTCTTAAGGTCCTCACTAAGTTCTTTGAGCATCCTTATAACCATTTTTTTGAAATCTGCATTTGTTAAATTGCACATCTCCATTTCATTTAGTTCTTTTCCTGGAGTTTTGTTCTGTTCTTTCATTTGGGACATGTTTCTTGTCTCCTCATTTTGGCTGCCTCCCTGTGTTTGTTTCTATGTATTAGGTGGATTTGCTAAAACTCTTAGGCTTGGTAGAGTGGCCTAATTTAGTAGGTGTCCTCTAGGGTCCAGTGGCACAGTCTCCCTGATCACTGCAGCTGGGCATTCAAGGTGCTCCCTCACCCCCCGTGGACTGTACACCCTTCTGAGTCTTGATTGCTGTGGCACCCAATGGGAGGAATTTACTCAGGCTGATCAGTTGCAAGGACTGGCTGTGCCCACTGCCCACTGATCTCTGCCCACCTTGGAGGATCAGCTGTGCAGAGGCCCACCACCCAGAGCAAGACTTATTTCAGCAGGGCTCTAGTACCCACTGAGTCTACCCCTTGAGTGTGTCACTTGTGGAGATGGTTGGGTGGTGGTGCTTCGACGTGATCTGAATCTGACCACTGGCTGTGCTGGCTCTGGGGCCTCCTGGGAGGCACAGGCCAAGGTCAGCCACTGCCTGTGTTTTACCTGGGGCCACCAGGCATGAGTTACAAAGCAATATGCAGATGCCTGCTTCATGTGCTGGGCTTGGAGGTGTCCAGGCAAGGCCAAGCTATGAATCAAGGCCAGCTGCTGCCAGTGCCAGGGCTGGGCCAGTTAAAGAGAGGTATGGGGCTGGCTGAGGCCAGATGCTGCTTGTTTGAGAGATTTTAGGAAAATTCGAAGCAGGAGCCGAGAAGGCCATTCTATGGTAAAGCCGCTAGAACTGCTTGGGTGGCCCCAAAATTGGGTGGGGCAGAGCCTCAGGGACTCACCAGGATGGGGCAAACAGTGTGAGCTAGGTTGCTGGAGTCTCAGATTTTGTCCCCATCTGCTGGGCCCATGGGGGAAGGGCTCACCAAAGGAACAATGACCTTTGCCAGCATGTCTG